ATGAGACGATAGTAGCGACATTTACCTTTGGAGAACAACTAGCTTGCTTCGATTTTTTTTCTTCGGCTCCACATACTCAAAATGTGATTTGTCCCGAGTGCTTGATTTGTCTTTCCTACTTTTTGCCGGTCGACCTTTGCTAACAACTTTTTCACTTGGCTCCGTAAGGTTAGTCTTCCCTGGGTGGGTAAAATGTCTCAAATGGTTGCGCAATCGAGTTTTTGCATCGAGATCGGCACATTCAAAGAGCTTCTGGTATTCCGATAATTCTTCGTCGATGGTTGGTAGGATGACTTGGCCTGTGGTCGCGACGGGCTCCATACTCATGTGTTTCCAATACGAGCCTATTAACTCAAGTGGGATAGGACATTTGTTCACAACAACATACTCATGAAGTTCATGGCGACATGGTAGACTGTGGGTTGTTCGGATGGCGCAACTACAACCCATATCGCTCGGTTGCAATAGTTTCGCATTGTCCACCTCAACTTTGAGTAGTTGCAGAACATATTTTGAGATACTTCCACGAAGCTCATTGTATATCAACGTTTTGAAAGTGTGCTCGTAAGTATTTTTACTTACTTCAAAGGAAGCCTTGATGTCATTGTGTTGTTCGACAATTTGATTGTGGACTTTCGTATACAAATCCACAAATGTGCCAGTTGAATTACGCACATCCCTTTTCATTCGTCCGTGTGCCCCCTCCACCCTATTAGAAGTGTACGTTCCAAAATGAGTATACTTATTTGTCCACACCGATACAAGTCTCTCCTTGTACGGATCCAACCATGAATTAGCTACATACTCTATAGCCGGGAGTGTTAGAGTAGGTGACCAACAAGCCAACTTGTGGTTGTGGTCTTTCGTATTTATTATGGTAATAAACGAACCTTTATTCGTATTAATGATAAAACACCTTGGCATTCTATATCTTTGTCCCTTTGTCACAAGCATAGATATAGTCCTTACAGTTATTACAAGTACTAGTAATTGATCGTTAGGATCGTGAGATATTTACTCAAGTATTATAACTGTTAAACGTGTTCCTAGTCGAAGGGTTACGCCACTAATGAGGATATCGGCCTTTCCCATTAAGACTAGCACTTAGTGTATGTGTACTGCATCTCATCAGTAAACGGTATTGTGATATCGGCATGCATAAGTGGGTGCTCGTAAGTTGACGAGTTCACTGAACTCCCTCACCCTAGAAATCTCTAAGTGGTTCCCAATAATCGAGTAGAGAAATCTATGGTATAGTTGTACACCATTAGTCCTTATGACCTAGACATCACCGTGACTTCACTAGAGGACCAGCTGTATCGTGACCTGTCCCTGAGTTCCACCGAGGACCATCCCAAGGGCCAGTGTTCGTGCAGTCCGAAATCTAGTGGGAGGTCTGTGCATTGTAGTCGGGGATTCGATCGCTAGAATAGTCTTGGATGTCCTGTGTGTTCTGAAAGTTTGTAATCATTCTAAGTCTCTGGCCAGAGCTGACTGAGTGATGATTAGAGAATTCGATTCTCTAAGTCATGCACGTAAGGATTACAACACTTGGAACGATCGCACCGTCATCGAACATATAAAGAGGTCTCGATGAACCAATGCCTCTAGTTCGATCGGGACATATGAATCGAAGGGACCGTACTGTACGTTAACTATATCTGAAGGTTCTTGCAGGCACTTCATTTGTATCTAGGGAATCATGACGCGTAGTTGCTAGACGCCAATCTTGATTCGTTGGGTGATTAAGGTGAAACGAGTTTCATCTTAATCGTAACTCTAAGGGGACGAGTTTTGACCACAAAGGGTTGTGGGCCCACGGCTAGCTTACACCTGAACCATCGAGGGTCACACTGCTCGTGCACATGAGATCTTTGAATAAACGGTCAAAGGTAAAATATGTTTATCTTTGCATGATTGGAAGTCAATATGATTGGGTCCAACATTCGTAATTTGGAATTATGAATGAGAATAAGAAAAGGAAAAGAATAGGCGAACGTATTAGTGAACCTTCTAAATCGGGAAGTTTCCAAATTTAGAAAGTGCACTGAATTAGGGTTTCCACTTTTGGAAAGTTGGAAATCGAGAGTTGGCACTCGTAATGACGAGGACATTATAATGATTCCGAAAATGTAATCGTTACAGTTTTCCAATCATCGAATTGAGAGAGATGAGCAAGTAAAAGAACTAACGAACTTAAGCTGTTGGGCCCGGTCCAACTTAAGCCCGTTAGGGTTTTATGCAAGACATATAAATACTTGATTTATAGGTCTTGCACACACACAACTAAGAGAACACACGTTCATAACCCTAGCCGCTGCCTCTCTCGATCAGCCACTCTCTCCCACGGCCACCACCACCGCGCCGTCGCCGGAAATTCGCCGGAATCGGCCACCCGTTGGCCGATCTCTTTCGGTATTCCTTTCCTTCTTTCTTTTCTTCCGTTATTCTGACTATTACGTGTCTAGTGCCACGTGTTTAGTAGATCGAAGTATACGAGGTGAAATCCAAGAGGAGGAAGATCGAAGAATCGAAGATGCGAGAAGGCAATTCCGAAAAACTGCTCTCGGATTTTCTGCGCTGCCCAGCGAGAAAATTCGCCATAAATCAACCGGTCATCCGATGGACGTGAAATTTTGACAGAAGCTTCACAACTCATAAATCTACCATCGTCCAGAATGAATTGTTCATCCAGTAAATACGCATGGAGATACTGAAGTCGGAGCAAGGCTGTAATTTCAGATCAGCAAACAGGTTGGATCAATAGGAGTGGGAAGAGCAGCTAGCCATCTTCTCTGCGCGTGAATCACATGCACCGCCGTAGCTCGGATCATCGCCGTTGCTGCCCCGGATTGCACGGATTGGTTTCCGTGGCAATCTAGCTTTGCTTAGTGCGCCTACCTCACGCTTCAAGAGGTAATGTTTCGAATCTATTGTCATTCGATTCGGTTATGTTTAAATTAATATATGCATGTTCGTTTTGATAAGAAACTTGTATGATTTTATGTGACTACATGAAATTGGATTTATTATTTGCGAGCATGATTATTTGATTTAAACGCGAGCATGCTAATTGATTTAATTTCGATTAAGTAATTAAGCATGTATGTTGTTTTTAATTCGCTGGAAGCGCAAAGGTACGCAATTAATTGTTATCTATTATCGGGCATGTGCTTATGTGATTTAAAACTCGTTTAATTCGCATAAAATTTTTGTTTTCCGCTGCGTACGCGTGCCCGAAACCCAACAGTGGTATCAGAGCTCGTTGCGCAATTCAAATCCTCCCAATCCTCATTGAACTCCTCTATGGTATTTCTTTCAATAAGAGCCGAAAAACTCGACTGAAATTGCTTCCATTTGGTGATGTCCTTTGGGAACAATTTCTTACAATTGGCCACTATATTCTTGTTCACATGCCACCGACACAGCAAGTGATGACTCGATGGATACACATTGGCCACTGCTTTCATTAAACCCAAATCTCGATCTGTTACAATGCAATTAGGCCGAGGACAACTGCTCATGGCCTCCTTCAAACAACGCAACGCCCATTCAAAATTTTCCGTCTTTTCGTGGTCCAAGTAGGCAAAGGCAATTGAGAACGTCTTGTTGGTACAAGTAAAACCCACAATCTCAAGAAATGGGAGTCCGTAACGATTGGTCTTGTACGTGCAATCGATGACGAATACGTACGGATACGACTGTGCCAACTTAATGCATTTCGGGTGGATCCAAAACAAGTCGGTAATCGCATTCAACTCGTTCGATCTATGGTACGAGAGGTATTCATCTTCTTTCAACTTGACGAACAATGATTGCAATTGAGATCTCCCATCCAATTCACTGAAATTTAACTTAGAGATATTATTGTAAACTGTCTTCATACCAGTTACATTAGACGGGTCCTTTTGCTTCAATGCTCTTAGAATTGCCCTTGGTTTCACCATTGCTTTCTTCATAGTGTGAACCAAGGAAACATCCTCCTTTGATAATCTTCCGGCATAAGAGTGTCCGTGCAAGTTTTCGAATAAGTTGTGGTTGTGAATACCACAACTAACATCCAATTTCCACTCAGCCTTTTCATCATCCTTGTGTTCTCTTGTCCCCTTCAATTTAAACGGACAATTGCATTTCTTTGAACCGGTGCTCCTTTTTCCCGGTCTTTGATCATCTTCACCTGGTACCTTCTTGCCAACATAATGGCCCCCACGCTCACAACGAACAATCACATACGGTGTCCTACGTCCTCTATCCCCGTCACTCGAACCCCCAATCATTAACACCATTCCAATTCTTTTACATACTTCACGAACCCATGCCATTAAAGCTTCTTTTGTTGGGAATTTTTCTGACGTGGTAAATGAATGGGTGCAATCGATCTACACAAAAGTGTCGAAAATATAAGACAAGTTATTTTGCAACAGGAACCAAATCGACACTTAACTGTCGAAAATTACCCATATTTTCGACACTTAAGTGTCGAAAATGGCGTCATAATTCGACACTTAGGCGTCGAAACTTAAGGGTATTTTCGACACATACATGTCGAAAAATAAGGGTATTTTCGACCTGTATGTGTCGAAAATACATGGCGAGTTTAAAAAAAAAAAAAATTCAAAATCGATGTTTTAGCTCAAAAAATACATGAATACATACCTGAATGGGTTCTCCTTGCTCGTAAACTACCATTCTATTGTCATTTGAGGCCATTTTGCAAGTTGTGTAAGGTTTTGATTTCTTTTGTTTTGGGGTTTTTTAGGAGGGTTTTTGGGGAGGGAGAAGAAGGAGGTGGAGGAGGTGAGGGGTTTGTGAGTGAGGAGGGAAATGTTTTTTTCAGGTTTTTGATTATTTGGTTTTTAAGAAAGAAAAATAGTATTTGTAATATTTTTTGGTTTTAATTTTTATTAAGGGTATTAAAGTAATTTACAATTAATTATTTATTTTTTATTTTTTTGGTATTCAACTAAGCAAAAATAAGTATTCAAAATAGTTGTCCCCATTAAAAAATGGTCTATTCACTATTTACTATCATCCTACTATTCACTATCACCAAATTATACTTTTGCGAATTTTTTTGCCTAGTTATATAAAGGGTAAATAGCACTTGACCCCCATGTGGTTTCTCTATTTTGCACTTAACCCCCACGTGGTATCAATATAGGCGGATAACCCCCCCTGTGGTTTACGATGAGTAGCTTTCGTAAGATATTCAATAGTGAGTGTATTTCACTCACCCAATTCGCAAGTGGTAGAGTTTTTCCTTACTATAAATTTCTAAAAATACCCATGTTGCCCTTCTTGTGTAAACCCCACACTCATTTCTAATTTCTTTAAACTACTAATTAAACAAACTTTAGTAAGTCAATTTAAAAAAATATGTGATTTAGTAAAATAAGAAAAATACATAAATTACTAAGATATGTTAACGCACGTACAAGTATTGGGCTTGCTTTCAGTAATTCAAAATTATTGTTTTCTTTCATTTTTAAAATTAGTTAGAAACAAAGTCTTTTTATTTTACCGCCAAAATATAATGATAAAAGTAAAAATCAAAATTTCGCCTTTATACAATAAATCTTTGGGATATTCAGATGAACAATAACAATAAATAAATAAAAAAGTAAAATATGTATAACAAAAAGATTCAACAAACGTATATTAAAAATTAAAATTAAAATTAAAAACTTATGTTGGAGTTGTCATCACCAGGTTTTGCTTGGATATGATCCTCCGCAATCGCACATGAAATTTTGTTCTTTATGTTATTTTCATGGTAATAAAATAATGTGAGCCTTAATTGTTTATCAAGTGAAGTAAACCTAAACAATACAAGTATGAGATAAATAAAAGGGCAAAATAGACATTTAACTCTTTTGGTTACTGAAATTACCAAAAGCTACTCATCATAAACCATAAGGGGGTTATCCGCCTATATTGATACCACATGGGGGTTAAGTGCAAAATAGTGAAACCACATAGGGGTCAAGTGCTATTTACCCTTATATAAATTGAAATTCTTGTAAAGTTGAAAAATGGATCTAGTTAAGCAAATTCGAAAGGAAAAGGGTTATTTTGTCAACAAGGTAGAAAATTAGGGATGTCCGAGTAATATTCGCGGACTCTAAGTACAGGTGGCGGAAACTTATTTGCTGGTTTTGGAAATAATTCTCAGCCGCAGTAGTAACAGAAAAAACCCAACTCCAAATGTTCAACTCAATCGGAGAAAAAAAGAAACAACTTATAATTACAATCCGACCAGCACACACACCGTACGGTGAAATTGCACACACATAAGCCTCCATTCACTCATAGTGTTGATGAACACGAACAAACGACAAGTATTCTAGTTGGATAAAAAGAAGCCATGGCGTTGTCGAACACCGTTGATACGACGTCGTTTTTGGAAGACCCGAATACGAAGATCCGAAAGCCCTACACCATTACTAAGTCGCGTGAGAGCTGGACTGAACCCGAACACGATAAATTTCTCGAGGCACTGCAGCTGTAAGTTCGAAAATTTTGATTTCCACAATAATTTTTCGGATACAAATTTGGTGATTTTGTACTATTGTCTTTAATCTAGGGTTGTGGGGTTATGATCGGAATACCAAACGCAGTTCGGTGTGTGAATTTGGGCTTTTTTTATCATGGATTTTATGTTTTAGGGTTTGTTTCTACGACATGGATAATTAAAGTTGGAATCTTGAGAGGAAGAAATAGGTGTTGGAGATATTAATACTAAATGATACATTTCACTAACAACTTAAGCTTTTGGTTGAGATGGTCATTCAACATGGTATCAGAGCCAGGCCAAATGAAAGGTCCTGAGTTCGAATCCCACCGCCACCCAATTCAAATATTTCAAGTGCAAGGCTTCAAATGTAATTCGTTTGCACTTGAGGGGGCGTGTTGGAGATATTAATACTAAATGATACATTTCACTAACAACTTAAGCTTTTGGTTGAGATGGTCATTCAACAGTTCATTTAGTTTTTGATTTGAGATATTTTGTGGGTCGGGTTATGGTATTTTTCTAGTTCCGCGGAGCTCGTAAATTGTTAGCTAAGTTCGAGATTGATTACCGTGTTATTGAAGAAATTGACAGTTGGTTTTTTTTTCGATATTCAAATTGTGGCATCTTTACTAGTGTTATTTTCGGCAGCTACGTTCTCGTTATTCTTATGCCTTTTATTTACTCTATTGCCCAAACCAGACTTCTCGTTTTCTCTGTTATAATCGATATGTGTAAAAGGATTTTATGTTTTCTGATACAGATTTGATCGTGATTGGAAAAAGATTGAAGCCTTTGTCGGATCGAAAACAGTCATTCAGGTAATTTCCTGAAACGGCAACTGGTCTGTAAAGCTGTGTGTGCACAATACGAGCATATTAGAAGCACATAACACATCGGTTTCTTCAATAGAATTGGAACAATGCAGACTGTGTAGAGAATATTATTTCGATTTTATTGAGTGACAAAATTACATCTTTTTGTAGATACGTAGCCATGCACAAAAGTATTTTATGAAAGCTCAAAAGAGCGGAAACAACGAACACCTACCTCCACCTCGCCCAAAAAGGAAAGCTGCTCATCCGTATCCACAAAAAGCTTCTAAAATCGGTAAGAGTGTGTCAGTTCTATTGAATTTTCTTTTTCTATCGCAACCCGAAAATTGAAATATAACGTACGTTTGGAATATACATAAAGCTCCAGTGGTCCCACAAGCTATATTGTCGTTCCAAGTATCCCCTACAGGAATTCCTGATCCTGGATTTGTGAGGAGGCCCGATTCTTCATCATTACAAGCACATCGTGATATTGCTGTATGGACAGACAATTCCGTTCACACTAACAACAATTCACACGACATCAGAGGTTCGCTTATTTTTTTATTTTTTTTTATGTTTATTGTAAAAACATCTTATTCGATTAGATATATGAACGAACTTCTGTTATGGTGCAGGTGATATCAGATCTGCTGGGCTGTCGGTGCCCGTTATTAACTCTTGCAGTATCGATGACAGCACTCAAAGGACAATGTCAACAGGTGAGATAACCGAAAGAAACGAATGGTGTAACTGATTTTTAGTTTATTTTATTTTGTTTTTTTGCCAATGAAGTATTTTAGTGTATTATCAATTCAGGCAACGGGATTGAACAGAAATGTAAGTAAGATGGCCCAATTGAGTTTATGAAATTGAACATAGTATTTGTCAATGAATAATCGATCTTAAAATACGAGAAACCCGATTAGTGTAAATCTGATGGAGGATAATAGTATGTGGGGAAATGTGGACAGACGGCACATTGCTTGACTTGGTGCGTATCCCCTCATTCGTCTAGGTGCTTTTTATTTTAGTTCAAGGATCGTGAGCTTATTGTTCGAGTCAATGAATTTTATGCGGTTTTCTGTTTTACAAGTAACGAGCTCTGTTCGTACCACAATCATAGGCAGTGTACATTCTAGAAGAAGGGACTCAATTCGAGCAATTCGACCTTTGGTTTTATTGAATTATCAATCTCGTATATATTGGTGAGTGGCATGTGAACCTATAACCATGAAATGATTGCATCTTGTGGAAATTCCGGAATAAGTTCGTGTACATATTTTATGTTTGCTTATATAATTTATTGATATGCGGTCGATTCGTATGTTTGTCTTACTGTTATATTTCGTTTCTGGATGCAGCTCTTCCTGATTTTGCTCAAGTTTATAGTTTCATCGGCAGTGTCTTTGACCCAAATGTGAGCGACCATTTGCAAAAATTGAAAAATATGGATCCAATTGATATCGAAACGGTATGTAGTCTTTTCCACTTATGAAGTATACATAGAGTAAATCGAAGGACGAGATGAAGTTTATTAAGTAGTTAGAATAGTGAATTTAGTTTTTCTTTATCCCGATAAAATTGATGCTCGTAGTCGACAGTGGTGCCTTAAGTATATGCATTGACCATATTACCCTTTTCATTTCCCCCCCTTTGGTCTATTGAACAGGTGTTACTTCTGGTAAGAAATCTCTCCATCAATTTGGCCAGTCCAGATTTCGAGGATCATGTAAGTACTAACCGATATTGAAATCTTGAATTGTACGCGCACCTTTTTTTTTTTCTTTAATATTGGCTAAAATTATGTTTCGCATATTTGTCGCAGAAAAAGTTGCTCTCGTCCAACGAGTTAGACCCTGAAAAGCATAATGCTTGCGTTGATACCGATCCAACCTGTGGAGGTCAATTCAAAGATGATGCATCCTAATTCGGTACGACTTTGATTATTGTTGTTATTATTATTATTGAAATTATACTATTTTACTCGTTCTAATAACGCCGTTTATCGATCACATTATCACAGGGGTGATTTTTATTGGTCTGAATCAATGGGTTGAATGACACGATGTAGTAGACCAATTATTGTTATGCACGGGCGCATACGAAGCTGTCGAATTCCTAAATATTTGTAAGTATTGTTTCTTTGTAGTATGTGCTTTTGGCTGTGCAGTTCACATGTCTTGTACATGTTTGTTGTTTGTAGGCGAAATAAAAATTTGAGAAAATTTGTACTGCGGGAATGTAAATTAGAAATAGTTTGTATGTACATGCAAGTTTTGATCCTCGTTGGATCAAAAATATATATTAAAAAAAAATCGATCCTCTTTTCCAGCTCGTATAGGCTTGTCAAATGTTTAGGTAAACCTACACTCTCATATAGTAGACTGTAAACCATACGAGAGACATAAACCACACTAATAAACCACACTACGCTAACCATATGGTCAAAGGAAACTTTTGTGTTCACAGCATTAGTTTGCCATTACAACATATAAATATGATACACATTTTTGTGTGAAATATAATATATATTATAAGTAGATCTAATCAAACACCCCGTATTTCTGGAAGAAGGCTCCATAGATTCGGGAAATTCTATGATACACTTGGTTATTTATACTGTGTGATTGTAAACTGTACATATGTACATAATTATTTACACATTATATGTGTTTGTTTGTTTAGTGGGTGGTTATTTAACTCCATCTACGATTAACAATCACCCACTGTAACATATATTATAGGGTAAATTACACTCACACCCCTGAGGTATGCTTAAATAACTTTAAGGTTCCTGTGGTATTGATAATTACACTTACCCCCTTGAAAGGTAGTTATAAACTCTAATGGGATAATGCGTTGGATACGTTATTACGATAGAGTTTTAACAGACTATTGGTTTCAGGAAGTGGTGGAGACAACAAAGAGTTATGGGTGAATTAAGAAATATTAGGGGAACCATGTGTCCATATCACTCGATAACTCCCCATGACTCTATGTTATCTCCACCACTAGGTAAAAATAATAGTCCGTTAGAACCATATCGGAATAATGTATCCAATGTATTATCCCGGTAGAGTTTCTAACTACGTTTCAGGGGGTGAGTGTAATTATTGATACCACAGGGACCTTAAAATTATTTAAACATACCTCGGGGTGTCGGTGTAATTTACCCTATCTATATTATATACACAACTCCCGTATAGATTCTTAGGGAATATGTCTAGCCAACTTTCAATTTTTCCCACTTTTCCTGAAAAGGAAAAAGGAAAAAGAAAAATTGCACTTTTAAGCCTCACAAATTGGGCTTCAAATTTGTTCTTTCTTCTAAAAAAAAAATAAATATCTTCACTAAAATATAAACAAATATTTGATTAAAGAAAATACTAACATCTATCATTTTACATTTTGAAAATCCTCAAAAAAAATTGACCCAATGCATTATAAATTACTTGACAATATAAGTTGTCCCATCTCAAAATATAAATAAATATTGCTTAATTTTATCATATTCTTCTTTTGAAATTACCCAAAATAATATCAAAGGGCCAAACAAACCCTAATATATGGGCTGATGCGGTCCATTTGTCCAATAATAGGGCTTCTTCAATTTAACCGAAAATCAAGCCCATTAAAAAACGTGACCCCATATATAAACCCCCAACTCTGCTCCTTCAATTCTAGGGTTTTTATTCAGTCATAAGCTGCTGCATTTTGCTTCACTCCTCCACCGATCTTCTTCCGACGACACTTCGCAGCAACCATGGTGAAACACCGTCTTCTCATCTCTCTTATAACAATTTTTTTTTTTTTTTGTTTTTCAAATATAGTTGTACGATAATCGCGGCTTAATTAATCGAATTGTAATTTGTTTCAGATCATTTCAGAGAAGAACAGGAGAGAGATCTCCAAGTACCTCTTCAAAGGTTTAATTTTTATTATTAATTATTTTTTGTTTTTGTTTTTGTTTTACGCGTGTTGATTTCGTTATAAAAATTCAATCTTGTTTTATTTCTGTGTATGTTTTAACAGAGGGTGTGTGCTTTGCGAAGAAGGATTTCAACTTGGCGAAGCACCCGGATATCGATGTGCCGAATCTTCAGGTGATTAAGCTTATGCAGAGCTTCAAATCGAAGGAGTACGTTCGCGAGACTTTTGCTTGGATGCACTATTATTGGTACCTTACCAATGATGGCATTGAGTTCCTCCGAACGTACCTCAACCTCCCGTCGGAGATTGTTCCCGCAACTCTCAAGAAGTCGGCCAAGCCCCTTGGCCGTCCCATGGGTGGGCCACCTGGCGATCGCCCACGGTAAATGCATTAACTTTTTTCCTAGTTGATATGTGTGTGTTTTATTAACAAGTCTTTCATTTTTTTTTTCTTTTGAAGATTCTGGTAATTCAGCATTGTCGATTATGTTGTTTGTGTGTTCTTTAGTACGTATAAAATTTGTATAGATGTTGGTTAGGAGCTTCTTTTTAGTATTATCACTTGTTGCGAATTTGTGGTGTTCTATTTCAGTTATTGTGTAGATTGGCAGGAATCTTTGGTATGTATCTTTCTACAAACTATGTATATTTTTACTCTGTAGAGTTTGGCAATGGATTTTAATTTGGTTAGTTATTCTATGAATGTCATAGATTTGTGTACTCTTGCATAATGTAAATAGTGTTTTATGTATTTGTTGATGAGTTAAGTGGATTCTTGAATCAAGTTGCCTATTTTATGAAATATTTCTACGGTTTCCAAATTTTGTTTTGATTCATCTATGGTAACAGTGGACCCCCAAGATTCGAGGGTGAGAGGCCACGCTTCGGTGACCGAGAAGGATACCGTGGTGGGCCCAGAGGAGGACCACCAGGTGAATTTGGTGGTGAGAAGAGTGGAGCACCTGCTGACTACCAACCTGCTTTCAGGGTAATTTTTCTTTTCTGATTCCATTCTGCCATGATGTTAATTACTGCTCTTTATTTTGCGCTCTTTTAAATTCCCCCGATTTTCTTTAAGAGCAGAATTAGCTAGGAAATTCAATACCTATTTAGTTTATTTGGGTATAAAAGCGTGATGGGAATATCGTTGTAATGTAAGATGAATCTGTGGCAAGCCTCCTTGATTCAGTTCTGTCAAAGGGATCATTTGCTTAGGTCTACTCTCCTACTGCCCCCACCTTGACACTAGATCGTTGTTTGATTGTATAAATATGTGTTGTAGAAACACCTGCTGCTGAATGTTGTATTTCAACATCATTTTTTGGTGTATTAAAAAAATGTATTGAATTGGGGTTATTGAAAAGGTAATTACAGAGGATTTGAATTGTCGTAGCTTGAATTTCCGAGAAATAGACTTTGATTTGAAGTAGAAAATGGGGCTACCTATATTCAACTTCCAGCGACGGTTCACCATTCTTAAGTAGGTTTCTTAGTATGTTATGAACTATCTATTCATTGGTGGTTCTCTACTTTTTAGTCCAACTCTTGAAATGCATATTGTTTCAGATTATAGTTTCATTATGATATATGGATTTTTTATATCCTTCCTTATCACAAGGGAATTATTGTCTGATAAGTGTCGAGTATAAAATTAAAAATTATTACTGTGGTAGAAATTTCGCTGCTTAACGTGGTATCATATATTGTAAATAAAAGTCGGTGGTAAAGAAGTAGCAGATTATGGCAGCTATGGGAAAATCTCAGTTTGCTTCGTTGAACATGCAGGGTTCTGGTGGGCGTCCCGGGTTTGGCAGAGGCGCTGGTGGTTTCGGTGGAGCACCTCCCAGTTAAACTTAACCACATGTTTGTTTATTCATAGTTCCTGATAGGATTTTTTTGATGTTCGGATTTATGTGGATCGAAAGATTATATTTTGCATGAAAATGTTTCATTGTCCTATGATGCCTTTTAAATGTTCTTTGGATTTGAATTATAATGGATTTTGTTTCGTTTTGGTTTCTTTCTTGCTCGATTGATTGGGCATCTAACTAAGGCCAATTTGTTTAGCTTTAATTTTTTTTTTTTTCAATTACTAAATTGTAATTGTGTTCAATTTTGTTGGTAAGATAAGTTACTCTATTTTCACCTAAGTGTTATATGGGAAGTTTTGACCAATAATTTTTCTACATCAACATTTGCCCATAAAAAACTACTAGTACTACGATAAATTTTGATTCACTCTACATGCACAGATGAGATATATGAGAAATGCAGTGAAACTTTGAGACCGCAAAGTTGTAGTTTAAGTAGTTTAACCTCTTATTGTTAACCGATGTTTGGCGACACTTGAAATGTAGCCGATATCACCAACTAAGTAGGTGGCTAACAGTAAGGTAGTTGGTAACAAATGGATTTTCAAGAGAAAATAAGGAATTTCAGTGGTGGAGAAAGCAAAGGTACCAAGCCACGGGTTTACACGATGATATATTCTCAGTCGTGTTGAAACAAAAACCCGTGATATATTCTCACTCGTGTTGAAACAAACCGCAATTAGAATTGTGATGTTAGTTTGACCTTGAGCTTCAACAGATGGATATCATTACTGTTTTTTTTTTTCATGACGAGTTAGAAGATACAATCTCTATAAAGAGGGTTTTCAAGAAGAAGAAAATAAGGTTTGCCTCTTAAACCACCAAGATAATAGTATAAAAAGGTTTGCCTCTTTCATGAATTCAATAGGCTATCAGAGAAGTAATTATAGCAGTTGTGTCTATTTGAATGGAAGAGAAGGAAAGTAACATATATTCTACTCCTTTATATTGATGGCATGTTGTGAGCTGGAAAAGAAAATCAAAGGTATTAATTAATGAGCTCAACGATCGCTAAGGAATGAGTTTGAAATTAAGGATTTGGGTAACACAATAAATATTTTGGGCATTGACATTTTGAGAAGGGCCAAGTGATATTCTCTAAAAAAAAACCGATATTTGGAGAGGTGTGGTATGGCAACTGCAAAGTCTGTACTTGCAGCTCATTTCAAACTTAGGGGGTGTTTGCAAATGCTTTTGCAAACAACTTATGAGCTTTTCTTGCCTCATAATCTATTTTTTGGTGTTTGTGACACAAACTTCTACTTTTGCTTCTCTAAAAATAAGCTATTTTAAGCTATAATCTCAAAAGCAGGCTTGTCCCAACTTTTTCGGTTGATGGCATTTCTGTAAATAAAAATAAGTTGTTTTAAATATTTTATTTCATTTTTACCCTTTTAATTAATTTAATTAATCCCACGTTTACCCAGCATTACCCTGTATTCACGTCAAAACCCTGTCACATAAAACACCTCCACCTCTACCTCCACTCTGTTTCAGCGAGAAATTCACCATCACAATCACAATAGGTATGAACCTTCATCTTTTTTTTCCGTGTTGTAGTTTAAGGATTAATAACATTAAATCTATATATTTGTGAATTACGCACCTGTGTTTTTCCTCAAATATATGTATCAATTTGGCTTATATGATTTTGGGCTTTCTGATTCCTGTAAGAATATGGCTAAAATCTTGTTTCACTAACTTTGTGTTTTGAATATATATTTGATTTTGTTTTAATTTGAAACATTTATCCTCATGTATTCTAACATGGGTTTTGCATATTTTTTTTTTTCATGTACTTACACAATATGTTGCAATCTTTGTGTTTAGCTATGGGAGTCTGTATGAAAGGGCTTTTAGGGAAAAAATATAATTTTCTTACCTGTAATCTACACATCAATATTAGTTTATCCAAATTATAGCCTATCTGATTATAATCATTCTTTAATGTTAATCTTTGATTTTGTTTTATCAGCACACCACAGTGTGTATCTATGGGTTCTTCATTTAATTATTTTAACATCTCACTTACTGTTTCTGAGAATCTTTAATCTTTCATCGTATAACGACGAAGACTCGCATCCGATTAATGTCACTAGCCACAGAGTTCGTGTTGGTAAAAACTCTGACTCGGTCAAGGCTAATTGGGATAACAAAACCACAGAGGTATTCATTAGGCTGTGTGTCCAAGAAACCAAAGCGGGAAATCGTCCTGGTAGCCACTTTAATAAAATCGGATGGGATAACCTCGTTAAAAAATTCTCTTCTGCTACAAACTGCAACTACACAAGAATCCTACTTAAGAACAAATGGGATATAATGAAAAATGAATGGGGTCAGTGGAAAGCTATTTTACATGGTGAGTCGGGATTAGGCTGGAATCAAATAAAAGGCACAGTTGATGCAACTCCAGAGTGGTGGCATAAGAAGATACATGTAGCTTGAATTTTAAAGAAATGTGTTTAGTTTCTTTATTTTATTAAAGTAGTATTTTAAAATGTTTGTTTTGAATTTCAGGCAAACCCCCTCGCAGCCAAATTTCGAGAGAGGGGTCTTTTGTGTCTATATGAGCAAGAGATGTTATTCTCGGATGTGATTGCAACTGGAACAAGTTCATGGACTCCAAGCTCTGGTATATTGCCACCCCACATGCAAGAGGAAAGAGAACAAGAATCTCAAAGTGAACCATTCGAGGATCTCGAAAGTGGATATCCGCAGTCCGAGCCTCCAATATATACACCTACACCTACTGATGAAACAACCGAAATATCGATTGAAGTGCCAAGAGAAGCACCACCAACTAGTTCGATGAGAAAAAGCACTGAATTTCTTAATCGTATCCGTAAAAAGAAAACTAAGAAGGTCTCTAATGCTGTCAAGATCTCAAAGTGTCTGGAAAGAATGGTTGATGCAATGAAACATGACTCATCTCGCCTTAATGGTGATACAAGGCGTCAATACAGCATACAAGAATGTCTCGAGATATTGGAAAATATGCCCGAAATTGATGAAGGTGGTCCTCTGTGGATGTATGCGACTCGCATTTTCTTAAAGCCAGCTATTCGTGAGTTGTTTTTTACTATAAAAAAAGATGAGATTCGCTTGAAGTGGCTTGAGGAACAAATGGAACGGGACATTAGACGCCGCGCTACTTCAACTACATTAGTTCATGGTTCTCATGAAAATGACCATGCATTATCTGGATGAAAGAGAACATTTGATTTAATACTCTAGAATTGGATGTTATTTTTTTCTAATCTACTTTCTTGTTTGTTTGGTTTGTTGCTTTTTGTTAAGAATTGAACTACTTTGGATGTTCATCCTATTTGGTTTGTTAAGATTTTTTAAGATTTATTTATTAAATGTCATGTCAGTTGAATTTGTTTTTCTAAATACTTTCTCTTGTTATTGACAGAATGGATGATACTGATGACGACTCAAACTCAAACATGGATTCTCTTTCTAAATCATCAGGTAGCCATGATTTAGATTCTTTAAGCAGTGATGAAGAAAAAGAAAGTGTTATATCAACATCTAACAAAACCGGAGCTCAGGTTCTAAATTCAATATGTATCGCGGTCGTATCTTATTATCAAAACTATTTACATAAAACTCCGTGTCACAATAGAGAGTATAGCGGATGGGCTGCTTTGTTGTCTATTTTTAATGGAAATCCTCGACGTTGTAAGGAAAATTTAAGAATGAGAATAGAGACTTTCTTTCTACTTTGTAAGTTATTAGCTGATGAATATGGTCTTGTACCAATGAGAGGAGTTGCAGTTGAGGAACAGGTTGCCACATTCCTTATGCTAGTGGGTCCAAGATGTGGAAATAGACAGTGTCAAGAAATGTTGCAAAGATCTGAATTTACAATAAGTAAATCATTTCACAGGGTCCTAAAAGCATGTACATTGATGTCCATCGACTGGGTTATTCCAATCACAGATAACTCTGTCACTCATAAGTACATTCGAACTAACAAGAGATTTTATCCTCACTTTAAGGTAATTTTCTTTCAAATAACGTTTAATGTAAATATTGTTCTTGTTCTTTATTTCTAAGCGACTAATATTCATTTTATTAAGGATTGTATTGGAGCAATTGACGGAACCCACATTAAGGCGGCGCTTCAGAAGGAGCAACAAACTCCTTTCATTGGAAGAAAAGGAACTCCCACTCAGAATATTATGGTCGTATGTGACTTTGATATGTGTTTCACGTACGTATTGCCAGGTTGGGAGGGAAGTGCGCACGACACGCGAATATTTTACGACACTATCAGAAATTTGGAAAAAAAATTTCCAATGCCACCTCCTGGTTTGATTATTTTCAAGCTCATATTTTTTTATACATTTTAGCTTATCTGTGTAGTGCATTCATTATATATGAGTCTTTTAATATTTGTGATAGGTAAGTACTACTTGGTTGATGCCGGTTATCCAAATATATCAGGATTTCTTGCACCATACAAAGGTGAGAAGTATCATCTTCCAGATTTTCAACGAGCTATTGCATATACTAATCAATATGAAGTGTTCAATCATTTGCACTCGTCATTAAGAAGTACAATCGAACGAACATTTGGGTGCTGGAAAGGAAGATTTTATACAATAAAAGATGTGCCCGTCAATATTCCTTGGAAAGACCAAGTTGCGCTTGTCCCGGCTACAATGGCAATCCATAATTTTATTCGTAAAGTCGACGCATTAGATGAGGATTTCTTACAATATGACAATGACCCAAACTATTTGCTAAAGGACAGAAGCATTCCTCGATCTAATGCCAATATTCATGGACCAGATTTGAACGTTCGTGATGGTGGAGTGGACAAAGTTAGAGACGATATTTGTACTTCTATTGCATTTTCTAGAATTGGATTACATATTCATTAGTGGTTAGGTGTAGTTATGTTTTTATTTTCTTATTGTTCAGATTTCAGGCTATTGTATTTGAATATATAAATTAAAATATTCCCAACAATTATAAACTATTTGGTAGTAATCCATAGTCGTATAGAAAATCTAAAATAAGAACATAGCAGAATTCATGATGTGTACATATATATATATATATATATATCCGTTGAAAAAAATAACAGAAAATTGATTGTAAATTAATTAATTAATTTATTTATTTGTGTATTTATCAGGGTATTTAGGACATTTTATAAATAATAAGTTGAAATTTTAAGTTTGTTTGCAAACACTGCAACTTTTAAATTAACTGCTTAAAGTTGCTTTTATATGTGTTTTGCAAACACCCACAACTTTTGCAAATAAGTGATTTTTTAGAGCTTAACTCATAACCACCAACTTCTGATTTTACATAAGCATTTGCAAACACCCCCTTAGTGTTGGAACAGTCACCTAAAGGGCATGAAAAGAGGAAGGAGATCGACTTAATTCCATATGCAAACATCATATATTGATAAGTGATCTAGATTGCCCTCAGCACACAGAAGACCAAAGGCTGGAAATAAGCTAAAGATTGAGCTGGATTGATGATCAATGCTGAGGTGGAAGAGACAGTTATAAGTTGATGGGGACCACGGTTGGAACTGTCCATGTGTAGCTAGGAACTGCCATTCTGTTAGGGGAATGTGATACACATGAGAATATGATCATATATATTGTGCTCATATCACATAGAAGAAGAGATCATCCAAGAAAAGCAAATATACTCAAGATAGAGATACAAGTTTTAGGTTTTCCATCAGAGAGAGAGAGAGAGAGAGAGAGAGGAGTATTAATGGAAGAGACAGTTATAAGTTGATGGGGACCACGGTTGGAACTGTTCATGTGTAGCTAGGAACTACCATTCTGTTAGGGGAATGTGATACACATGAGAATATGATCATATATATTGTGCTCATATCACATAGAAGAAGAGATCATCCAAGAAAAGCAAATATACTCAAGATAGAGATACAAGTTTTAGGTTTTCCATCAGAGAGAGAGAGAGAGAGAGAGAGAGAGAGAGAGAGAGAGGAGTATTAATGGAAGAGACAGTTATAAGTTGATGGGGACCACGGTTGGAACTGTCCATGTGTAGCTAGGAACTGCCATTCTGTTAGGGGAATGTGATACACATGAGAATATGATCATATATATTGTGCTCATATCACATAGAAGAAGAGATCATCCAAGAAAAGCAAATATACTCAAGATAGAGATACAAGTTTTAGGTTTTCCATCAGAGAGAGAGAGAGAGAGAGAGAGAGAGAGAGAGAGAGAGAGAGAGAGAGAGAGAGAGAGAGAGACTTGTCGCCATTTTTGAGAAATTGATTTCTTAAATATTATATTGAAATTGTAGTATGATCATCAATAATAGTAATCAGGTAGCTACTTTAAAATGGATGTGATCTAATTGATTGAAGGATTAGAAATTGTGGGCATGTTTTAATTGTGCGCGCGCGATTATCTAAACAAAAAAACAATACTTGCGTTATACTTTGCAGAAACAACAACATTTTTTTATACCGGACACTTATCAAAGGTTCACTCATGACTCAACAACCAGACTCAAAAATGAAAACTACAAGGAAAAAAGAAAAAGAAAACACCACTACAAATCTCTTCCAAGCCGAACCATTATTCAATCAATCAACCTCCTCCATTTTGCTTTCCTCGTTAACCGCATCCTCCTCCAGATTGGCCACATCAGCATCCTCACCACCATCGGCATCATCTTCATCAATGCTCAAACCCAGCTTCAGCATCCTATGAATCCTCGCAGCAAAAGTATTCGGTTCGTCCAAACTAAACCCGGAAGTCAACATCGCAGTCTCGAAGAGCAGCATCACCAGATCCTTAACCGACTTATCGTTCTTATCCGCCTCAGCTCTCTTCCTAAGCTCCTCCATTATCCCATTATCCGGATTTATCTCCATAGTCTTCTTGCTCGACATATACGATCCCATGCTGCTGTCCCTCAAGGCCTGCGCCTTCATGATCCTCTCCATATTCGCCGTCCAGCCGTACTCCCCTGTCACTAGACAGCAAGGCGAATCCACAATCCTGTCCGAGACAACAACCTTCTCGATTTTGTCGCCAAGTATGTCTTTAATCACCTTGCATAGGCTCTCGAACGACTTCTTTTTCTCCTCCCTTTTCTTCTTTTCTTCCTCGGTTTCATCTTCGAGTTTCAGTCCTTCCTTAGTAGCCGAAACCAATTTTTTACCATCGTACTCTTTCAGTTGCCCGACGGCATACTCGTCTATTGCATCAACCATGTAGACCACTTCGTAACCCTTCTTTTTAAGTTTTTCCAAGAAAGGCGAATTTTCTACGGCTTTCTTGCTTTCACCGGTTATGTAGTAAATATCCTTCTGTCCTTCCTTCATCCTTGTCACATAGTCTTTCAAGCTTGTCATTTCATCACCGCTCTTGGTCGAGTAGTATCTCAGCAAATCAGCCAGCTTAGCTCTGTTCTGACTGTCTTCATGTATGCCCAACTTCAGGTTCTTTGAGAAAGCTTCGTAGAATTTTGTGTAGTCGTCTTTGTTCTCCGCGATCTCATTGAACATTTCAATGCACTTCTTCACAATGTTTTTCCGAATAACTTTGAGGATTTTGTTCTGCTGCAAAGTCTCGCGGGAGATGTTGAGAGGCAGGTCATCAGAGTCAACTACACCTTTAATGAAACTGAGGTACTCTGGAATCAGCTCCTCGCAGTTGTCCATGATGAACACTCTCCTTACATAGAGTTTGATGTTGTTCATCTTCTTGCGGGTGTCGAAGAGGTCGAACGGGGCCCGCTTTGGTGCGAAGAGGATAGCCTTGAATTCGAGCTGACCCTCAACGGAGAAGTGTTTGACCGCTAGGTGGTCCTCCCAATCGTTGGTCAAGCTCTTGTAGAAAGAGGCGTACTCGTCTTTCGTGATTTCTTCTGGCTTGCGAAGCCAAATCGGCTTCTGCTTGTTGATTAGATCCCACTCGTGGGAAACTTCCTTGATCTTCTTTTTCTTGCCTGTGTCTTTCTCCTTTTCCTCGTCAATTTCCTCAACATCACCTTCTTCCTTCTTCGAATCAACTTCTTCTTCATCGTCGCTGATCTCTTTCTCGGTTGTCTTCTCAGTCCAGAGGTAAATCGGGTAACTGATGAACTCGGAGTGCTTCTTCACAAGATCTTTAATTCTCCTCTCCTCGAGGTACTCCAGCTACACATTGAATATCAAATAAACAATCAGCATCAACATCAACATCAAAACTACAGGAAAAAAAAATGATCCAATTAATGAAGTTTCTAAGCATGTTTAATTACCTGATCCTCCTTTAGGAAGAGGGTGATTTTGGTTCCTCTGCCAAGCTGCTCACCATCATCATCTCTTGTGACGGTGAAGGAACCGCCAGCTTGTGATTCCCAAATGTACTGTTCATCATCGTTGTGCTTTGTGGTGACGATTACTTTCTCCGCAACAAGATATGCAGAGTAGAAACCGACACCGAATTGCCCAATCATGCTGACATCAGCACCTGCCTGCAATGCCTCCATAAATTCTTTTGTGCCAGACCTTGCAATTGTGCCCAAGTTGTTCACCAGATCTGCCACATTCATACCGAAAACAATATCAGTACAACAAATCACACCGAAGACATTAAAACTTCTCAATACACGCAAACACAGCTAAAAAAACAACAAAACTGGAGAGTGGAGATATATCGATCAGATCTACATTAAATGATTCTATATCTACCAGAACCAGGCAAAACTCAATCAATTCCAATCGCGTCCAAAATCAATATATACCGAAACACAAGCTATAATTCAAATTTCAAAAGAGAAAAAAATAGGAGAAGCACAAAAGGCGTACCTGCTTTAGTCATGCCGATACCACTGTCGATAATGGAGAGCGTCTTATTAACCTTGTCCGGAACAAGTCGGATAAACAGCTCCGGTTGAGCATCGAGCTTGCTCTTATCGGTCAGGCTCTCGAATCTGATCTTATCCAAGGCATCGGACGAATTGCTGATCAGCTCGCGGAGGAAGATCTCCTTGTTGCTGTAGAATGTGTTGATGATCAAACTCAGAAGCTGGTTGATCTCCGCCTGGAAAGCGAACGTCTCCACGTCGGCCATCTGAACTTCCGCCATCGAATTGGAAAACAATTAAGAAGATCTGCTAACGACGGTTATTAGAGAGAGAAAGAGGAGAGAGAGAGAGATTTTCGAATAGTTTTGTGGATGCAGAAATTAATTTGATCTGAGTGAAGAAAATGAAGGAGGTGGTTATTTATATAAGAAAGGGGAGGAAGGGTTTCTAGGAGGTTCTAGTGTTTTTGAATGACAAGGGGGAATTGGCGGGGTTCTGGAGCCTTCTCCTCTTTTCTCGACACCTCTGTTTAAGTAGTGGAATAAAAATATTGGAATTTGGGCCGCGGGTTAACGGGTTTAATGGGCCCGCGGGTTAACGGGTTTAATGGGCCCGCGGGTTAACGGGTTTAATGGGCCTAGTAGTGGAATATTAAATTTTAAAAAAAAAAAAAAAAAAGGGACAAAGAAAAGGAGAGAAGAAAAGAGACGTGGCCGCTTAACACTCGTGGAAATTTAGTGTCCACCGTGGCAGATGACGTCATCAATTGATTGCTGACGAGTGACGACGAATAAGGATTGTAATCCGACGGTGGAACGTCCACCTCACAATTTTCTCTTCGCATTACCCTGACACAGACACGTGTCATCGTACTACTGTCCACGTTATCACCTTCCCCACTCCTTTCCACCCTTCGTCAAAAGTCCTCATTTAATTTCGGTATATTTTGAAATAGAAATTATACAAAATCATTTAAAAACATAAAACACATAACAAGAATCCTGAACAAAAGTAAAAGGAAGAAGAAATATATACATAAAAATTCATTCATCTCGGGATTTTGCTGTAATGAAATCAAATTCCTCGTTATAAATTTCAATTCCAATTCAAATGAAATTAGAAAATTAAAGTTTTTGAAAATTGGAATAGCAAAATTTGGTAAATTCAAAAATTAATTTTCAATTTCCACTACTAAATATAATACATGATTTTTTGGTAAAAAAGTGGTCACAATTGCGTCCTAAACAATCAAATGGCAATTTTGTAATATAGGAAAAGAGTAGTACGACTTCTCCAGAACCAAGTTTAATTAATTTTTTTAATTTAATCACAAAATAAAGGGAACAAACACTTGTTGTAGCAGATGCAGCCTCTTGTATATTTAGCAAAAACCAGACATGTGGTCTGCGTTGCTCCACCCTCACCCCCCACCCCACCCCCACCCCCACCCCACCCCCCATCACACCTCGGCCGTCTCGGTACAAATTATCTCAATTACACACATTCTCGCCGTAGAAAACTTGAACCCCATTTAAATTTACACTAAACCCCCTCCTAAATTTTTTATTTTCCTTATCCTCCGCCGCGGAACCGCCTCCCATGGCTGCCGGAATCTCCATGGCGACCACCTCCAGAACCATAGTCCATTCCAGACACAGCCCGTTTCTCGGCCCGAAACCCACCTCACTATTCACACCCACTTCAAAACTCCCCCACTCCCTTCAGAAATTCCACGCGGTTTTGAGGTTTAAAAGGAGGAAATCGAATTTGACGGTGTGTTTCGTGCTGGAGGAAGAGAAATTGGCGGACTGGAGAATTCAGGATTCGGGGGAAGGGAGTGGAGACGATGAGGGTTCCGGAAGTGAAATCTCCGCCGCCGCGGCGGGCCTGGCGGAGAAAGTGGCGAGGAAGAGATCGGAGAGATTTACATACTTGGTGGCGGCTGTTATGTCGACTCTCGGGATTACTTCCATGGCTGTAATGGCTGTTTATTATAGATTTGCTTGGCAAATGGAGGTAAAACATTTTTGCAGATTTTTCGCCTTTTTTTTTCTTCTTCAATGAGATGAAGTTCGATTCATGTGTTCTAAGTACAATGCACATGAAAATGCGTTTTGTTGTCAATTTTATTTGGATTTTTTAATTTTGGTAGAACTAATTAATATTTAATAGGAGCTTTACGATTAATGATCGTATGTCGATTTGATCGATTTGTGGTTCAGGGCGGAGAGGTGCCGTTTGTAGAAATGTTCGGTACATTCGCTCTATCTGTTGGGGCTGCCGTAAGTTTCTTCATTAATCATTTCGACATTTTACCTCAGTTTCGACTCACTTTAAAAATTAAAAATAAAAATTAAGAACCCGTTTTTTCGATTTCTTCGTTAGAGATCCTTATATTGATGAAAATGTGTGTGTTCTCGAACTTTGTAGGTGGGAATGGAGTTCTGGGCTCGATGGGCGCATAAAGCTCTATGGCACGCTTCGTTATGGCATATGCACGAGGTTTGTTTATTCAGTAATCAATAATTACTATCCTCGAATTATTACTCAGCCCTATAATAAAACTGATCATGTAATTCAGTAGTATTTCAAAAAAAAATTTAATTTTTTTTTTTCTGTCGGAATTAACAACTTAATTGTTTTGAATGCAGTCACACCATAAGCCAAGGGAAGGCCCTTTCGAACTAAACGATGTTTTTGCGATAATTAATGCTGGTCCCGCCATAGCTCTACTCTCCTATGGTTTCTTCCACAAAGGCCTCGTTCCTGGTCTCTGTTTCGGCGCCGTGAGTAATTAACCCCCTAATACATTTTAAGTTCGGTCGACTTGTAATTAGAACAAATTAAAATCATATGGTTTTGCTATTGACCACACAGGCCTCGTTTTTATTTTTTTTAATGCAGGGTCTCGGAATTACAGTGTTTGGCATGGCTTACATGTTCGTCCACGACGGACTAGTCCACCGGAGATTCCCGGTGGGGCCCGTTGCAGACGTACCGTATTTTAGAAGGGTAGCTTCAGCTCATCAGGTATAATTATAAACTAAAATCATTGCCACCGTTGACTGTAATGCAGTTGTTTATTAATTAATTACCTGTGTGATCTTATGTAATCATATATATAATAATAATAATGTATTTGTTAGGACAACTTGTAGATTTGTCAGTAAAATAAAATCTTATTTTTTTTCTCCGTGTCGTATTTGATGTTGTTGTCTGGGATTAATTCAGCTTCATCACTCGGAGAAGTTCGATGGAGTCCCGTACGGGCTTTTTCTCGGGCCAAAGGTTTGTTGTTTATTACGTCTGCACATTTTGTTCTTTAAAAATTGCGAATTATGATAAATAAAAAAAAATCTTTTTAAATGGGTGATTGATTTCGATTTTTTGTTTTCGTTCGTTCGTTCGATTGTGTAGGAACTGGAAGAAGTGGGAGGGCTGGAAGAGTTGGAGAAAGAAATAAACAGAAGGATAAAATTGTCCAAGAAATTGTGATCATCTTTTTGAGAGACGTGTTTTGAATTTGCTCTCTCCTTAATGGAGAAGTCGTTAGTGGATATTATTAGAATGAATGAATTGATTTTTTTGACTAGAGTTGTCATGCTTTTGGTCTAAACAAAGATATATATATACATATTGTATGTATGGTGTCAATCTACACAATGGAAAAGAAAAGGAAAATCCTATTTTTGACTATTCGGCTTGGCGCATTACTAGGAGTGAAAATCCGATGGATCTGGTCGGAATAATACCTTCGAAAAATTATACCTTTCGTTTTTTATGAAATGTAAATTTAAATCTTGTTCCTATTTGGGAAATTGAAAAAAAAAATTGGAATTTCAGACCTGAATGAAAAATATTGTTCTAAATTTTTTTTTTTCTTAATCGAAGTCATCGAAGATTGGAATTTTTTTCTTCGTCTACTTATAATGTAAAATAAAATACATAATAATACTGATATTGTTGCGTAACTTTTGGAATAAAATGGAAATTTTAGAAATATTTTCTATAATGGTAATTAGATAGAAAATTTGGATTCACATGTGTCCCAATTTTGATCTTAAGAAATCGGAGAAAAAAATGGAAATTCAAAAACTAAAAAACATTGTGTCAAAACTGAATTTTCTTTTATTTATTTATTGGAATTGGCCGAAATAGGAAACTCCGTTTTAATTTGCACCTTGTTCAGTAGTGATTTGGTCTAATAACGTCATTATTTAATTTTAAAATATAATTTGACCGAGTCAACTCCAATAAGATTTAAATCAATTTAAGTTACTCCTGCAAACGATGATCTAACGGATGAAACGAAAAAAAAATGTGTCAATTGACTCGGGTTCGGATTTCTTTGTCAGTAATTGCTAGGTCAAACTTATCACATATGACTAGTCTAGTGCAATTTACGTCTCTCGTTACGGATCGTCCTATCAGATATCAACTATCAAACACTTGGATTAAAGATAAACTAGAAGGTAGATTTTGTTGTTAATAATAATAAATTTCTTTGTTTTGTGTTCCACATGGTTATTTTAATGTATATATAGTATATAGTACGTGTCAATACAATCAACACGTAAAATAAAATATTAATGTTGCATTTAAACTATAAATTGCATTATGGGGTTTGTTTGTTTTTATTTTATATGGAATTAGTATATGGACAAAGAAATTTAATATATATTTAAGAAAGATCCCTTCTTCAAGAGACTTCTGATTTGTCTTGGAGTTTAATACTAGTGGCATTTTGTTGGCCAACTTTAGTTGCCTTTTCATATCATCTCCATGTGCAACTTCATCTTATTTCATGTGGACTTCATTTTATTTTCCTTTTTTCACATTTGTGGAAGTGGTTTGTTTATTTGAATGTGTCCTACTTCCAATTCCAAGCTCTATTTGATGCTACGTCTGATGAAAAATATCAGATGATTTTGTATCATACATTTATACAACGTGCGTATTTGTTATTATGTGTAGATCAATGGTACATGATTACCTGATGTATTTTACCGAATGTGGCATCTATAAAAACCAATTCCGATGACATACAAATTTTAATTTTCAATGGATGTTGTATGCCCTATTCGTGAAATAATGCATGTCAATGAAATAAGGCCACTTGAAGAGAATGCAACTTGCAAATTTATTTATTAAAAGACATTGAGGATAGAATAAGCTAAGATCTTGATCGAAGAGGTATGCAATTCAATGAACTTTTCCGAGTTGTTTCCGTTATTTTGCAAATTCTCTTTTATTCACTCCATTTGTTATGTTCTTCTTAAGTGTTGTTTAAGGTTAATGCACATCAATTAAAAAAGTTATTAAATAACATCGATTTCAGAAGAAAAAACTCTCATTCGACCCTTGTATTTTTAACTATTCTTTATTATTTCATTAATTTGTATTAATATGAGGGTAAAGTTGGAGGAATTTTTTTTCCTACATTGAAACTCTAAGGTGAAACTTAATATGAGGAAAAAACTTTTTTTTTTCTTTTTTGGCTAAAGAGACACTTAAAAAGAAGGGGCAATTTTCTAAACAACATTGAGAACTGATACCCTTTCAAATCAGGACAATTATATTTTCACATTTTTCTAGAAGTCTTTCAGCCAATTTAATTAGAGAATTTAGACAAAAAATAATCATTTTAGACTGAAAATACTTTATTATCCTATTCACAAGGTGCCGACCATCTAATTTCCACCAAAATATCACGAGAAAAATATTATCGTTATCTAAAATGTGTATTTTCAGTCTAAAATCTACCACTAAACAAAACAAAAATATTTTAATGAAAAGAAACATTCTAATCCAACAAATGACCAATCCCACAACAAAAGGAAATTTGAAAGCCAGAAATTCTGGAGCATCCAATCGACACGCGACACGTGTTGAAAATCTCTTTTATTTTACAAATTTACCCTTCTCCTACTCATCCCCCCCGCCCCCGCCGGCACTTCTCATCTCATGTGATCTGTTTACTTTTTCTCTCTCTCTCTCTAGACACAGTAATTACAGATCCAAAAAACACCCTCCAAAACTCAATTTCAACATTTCTCTAGTTTTTCTCCTTTTTTTTCTTGCTGCTGTATCATTTTTTTTTCTTCTTTCTACTTTTAATCTGTTCTGCGAAGGGGCCCTTCGATTCTCCCAGGTTTGCTTGATTTTTACACTGTTTCATTGGATTTTTTCTTAAGTAACTTGATCTGATTCCATATAACGCGTGCCGTAAAATACTTTCTTCGTAATTGAGATTGAGATTGAGATTTTGGCATCTAGGATAAATGGATTATATGCACAATTGTTGTTTTTTTTATTATTTAAATAAATTTTAGGATTTAGTATGCGTAAAATTTATATATCTCGAGCCTTTTGATCTTTGCTTTTTTGGTTTTTTTCTGTGGGATCTGAACTTTGAGGGTAAATTGTTGTGGTTTGGATGGTGAACTCAAATTATCAACTGGCATATAACTGAATTGGGCAATTGGTAAATTAGCTTTTGTTTTCTTTTCATCTGAAGTTGGGATTTCTATTTGGAAAATGGGAATTGATAGTTTTGTTAGAACGATTACACTATTTGTTGAAATACATGAATATAATTCGAAGAAACCTAATTTTAGTCGATTTTATTCGGTGCTTCACTCATTCATTTGATCTATATATGTAGTTCTGAGTTGGAATTTGAATGGATCCCAGGAGTTTTAAGTGGCAGTTCTGGTATGGTTGTCCTGCAAATTGTACCAATAGGCTGTCGATTATCATTTTTTGTGTGTGTGTATTTGTACTGCTGACATGTTTGCTGGATTTTTTTTTGTCTTCAATGGTGCTCTACCCTTTTCATTTAATTCATACGGAATTTCTTGATCTTTTTCGCAGGAGGCAAGGCCAAGTTGTGCTGTTCTAAACTAAAAGAAACTGCTACGTCAGATCAATTCAATCATTCTTTAATCAAGTGCGTGTGAAATGAGTGGCAAGACTTGCGCGAAATTGGGAACAACAATGTTGGGAAGATACATAAGGGCTTATCAGTTTTCACTTCTCTTATCTCCAGTGATTTCTTTCTGGGAATGCAGCGTGCGTAAGATGAGATATTCATCCACTCCCGAGTGGGTGTAGATACATTGCGATCCGAGTTTCACATTTTTCATCTTAGTTTTTCTTTAGTGCTCAAAAGAGTTTACAATAGTAAAAGGAAACACATAGGTACTAGATAACGAATACTTTATAGCGGAAGTTTTCCAAAGGAAAATTTAGAAAAGAAATTTGAGAAGATAGTAGGATTACGGTTCATGGAATTTGCTAAAGTAACAGTTGGTGTTAGGAAAGCCAAGAAGAAACAGGTGAATGACGAGTTAGACCGAATTAAACAGGCTGAGAAGAAACGAAGGCGTTTGGAGAAGGCTTTAGCTACCTCCGCAGCCATACGCGCTGAACTGGAAAAGAAGAAGCTGAAAAAGAAACAAGAACAAGAGAGGCTCGACCAAGAAGGTGCTGCAATAGCCGAGGCAGTTGCACTGCAGGTACTACTTGGTGAAGACTCAGACGAGTCAATGCCGAATAAGGATGAGGGGTTGACCTCGTGGGACCATGCTGGCAACATCAACATCATTGTGGGGCCCACACAGCCGCTGGCGACTTACTGTGAAAGTGCAACTAGGGTTTCAGATGCTTATGGGTGCTTGTGGGATCTTAGAGGAACTTCTAACTCGATAGTTTCGTACGATTATCTTGGTGGTGACATGTACCCTCAATACTTTGGTTTATCGGATGGAAATCTTGCTGCGGAGGTTGTTTCGTCGCTTAGAATAGCTGATGATGCATGGTAGATGCTCTTGTCTTCAATCTGTACTTAAAAGCCGGTGAAAGAAACAATTATATGTGGCTTTGGCCAAGATTCGGTGTGCGCCTTTCCCTTTTTTTTGTTCTGAACAATGGTCCTATTTTTCTCGGATGTCCGATGATTCAAACTTTGGCTTAGGAATCATGTTTGGTTTCCATTTGCATTTTCTTAACTGATGATGGGTTTGTAAGTTTATACGAAGCAAGTTTCCGATATAAAACAAAATAGTCATTAGATATTGAAATGTGTATTTGCTTCCAAGGTTCGTTTCATTATACAGTTGGTAAATTTGACCGGGTTGCATTATTTCATACAAGTATATAGATTGATTCATATTTTACGCACATTTATACGCATTTATACGAATGTGATTGTGCATAAATCAAATATTATTTTACCAGGTGTAATATGTATTTAGTACAACTGCTTAAAATGTTGAAAAAATATTATATGAAGTAGAAGCAACATGTGAACAAATACAACAGCACCAATATATATCTATCTTCAAATGTAAAATCTTTGAACAGTGGGTGGAACAAATACACAGTTGAGTGAAAAAAAGAAAGAACTACACCATTTTACAACAAAATCCACAACAAAAGTTACAAATGAAAATACACGAGTATTCAAATATCACGGAGAGAGTGCTCTCGTCTCTGTTGCTGACGAAGCATCTCTTCATCACCATTTTCGAGCTCTGAACTACCGGACGGTTTAGCACCAGCAGAAATAAGGTTCTTGAACCAGCTGCCTTGGAATCTAGGGCTTCCTCTCGTAGAGTTTCCGGGAGATTCCGGAGCCACGATTGAATTGTTCGATGCAACTCCTGCTAAAAAACGATACGCCACTTTGCTAGCAGTTACAATTTCAGTTTTAGCTTGTCTAAACTGCAGAACAACATCCAAATTAGTAAGGAGAGAGATATTAGAAAGTGTATAGTTGGAAATGAGGGTGGAAATTCTTGAATTTTGTAACAATTTTGACTCGAAGGTAATTTCTTGAAGATTTTATTTCCGTCAATTTTATTCCAATAGGGTTCATTAAGAAGATGATACTCATCTAGACAAAACTTCCAAAGAATGAAGGATATTGCAAAAAAATTGAATGAAGGATATTGCAAAAAAAATTGAATGAAGACTGAATCTTACTCGATAGGCTGTGTTACCAGCTATTTCAGTCGCGGTGTCACCAATGTTTGCAAACCTGTTAACCCAACCTGTTACAGAACTTTAAAGTTCAGTTGCAACAAAAAAACAAACGAAAAAAAAAAACAGAGCACGCTTTTTTTATTAAGTATATTCACTCTAAAATTGCAGATTCATCCCATAAATGTGGCAAATTGTCACCATGAATTCAAAAGCATAGCACGATCCTCTGGCATCCATATCCAGAAGGATATGTAAGGCCCGAGTGTTTGTTTCAATCTACGACAAGCTAATTATTAGGTTTTTGGTTAAATGCCTAACGTAATGTTGTAATCCAACTGAAGGCCAATGCTTGATCATTGCAGCATTTGCTAACAATTAAAACATACAGCAGAAAACAACTATACGTTTTTTTAGTGAACCGAGAGGATTATATGCATAAACAAAAGTTTATGTGAACGAGCACGAGACTAAGAGAGAGGGACTGAAATTACCAGGAAGCTTTGGCACGCCAAGTCTTTCACAGAACTCATCGCAGAAATGATTGCAATTCTTGGACAGCAAATCATACGAGTGTCCAGGCCACTCTCTACTAAGTTCCCTCAGGATCTGATTAACCTTGAAGATAGAGAAGGATGTTTGCCCGAGTTTAATGCTTTCACGGTATGTATACATTGGATTCTTTGTTGATGGACAACTAAAAACTCCTGTACCCTGTTCACAATACCCAAAGGACCATTCATCGTCACCATATACCTGTTGAACAAGTGAAAATTTAGTTAACGGGGCACAAAATGACTGAGCTCTATATGTAAAAATGCATTCCATCTACATGTGTTCTATATGTCATTAAGGAGAAAACCATCAGTAGTGAAGTGGATTCACATTGAACATAAACTAAGGTAGTCGACAGGAGAGAACAAACAGATGAAAAGACGAGTGCGAAATAACGGGATAAAATAGAATGTACAAATAGGAGAAATAATAAAAACCACGTGGGGTGCAGAATCCAAAAACTCAAGAGTGTATTACAACAAGGATCGTACGCGATGACTTTGATACGAGGCAAGTATAGAGTAAAAATGGGGAAAACATCGAAAAGTCAAAAACTGATTGTAGCAACAAGCATTGTTTCACATCGGACATAGCTAGTGAAGACTCAATACCCTCAACCACAAAATTGCACAAATCTCATCATTAATGCAAAACGCAATCTACCAAAACAAGAAGATACGTAGCTACTAAAAGGGGGGGTTAGTGAACAAGAAAATAAACACACAATCACTTTCAGGAAATGCAGTTCCATACTATATATTCTTGATAAATTTCCACAGTGATTAAATCCCAAGAAAACGTCGACATTTCAGCTACGCTTCAAGATCAAAAGTTTAAAGGATCCATTGCATTTTGTCAACATTAAACAAATTCATCTCTCAATTCCGTTCCTCCAAGAAACAAACCCCAATTAAAAGTCAAGAAAGCAATAGAAATTAAGCAACTCAAAGATGAAGGAGGTTGCATAAAACACAGAACAAGTAGATTTTCAATCATCCGGCAAAAAAAACTTGCGAAAACCCAATGCAAACACTTCTATTATGCCAGCAAAACCGCATATACCCAAGAAAAAACACTTGCATCAAATCAAGTATCACAACAAAACCCTAGATCTACTCCACAAACTAATTAAAAAAAAAACCCAAACAAAGTGAAAAAGAAGATAATCAAATATGCAATACACAATAAGCAAGTACTGCTGCAGACACAAAAAAAATAAAAAAAATAAAAAAAAATGAAGAAAGAAAGAAGATGGGGGCGGTGGATGAACCTGAACAGCGCTGTGGAAGATTCCGCCGAGGGAGATTCCATCTTTGAAGATCTTGTTAATCTGCATAATAGTGTTGTTCGTTTTCTCGTTTCCACTGTTCGTCACGTCGTACACATGGAGGATCACCTCCATCATCGTCTTTTTTCAATTCTCTCTACCCAAATATACACGAACCCCCAAAATCTTCTCTCTCTCTCTCTCTCTCTCTAGATATATATATATATATATATATATGTATATGTGTGTGTGTGTATTTTTGGAGATTTCAAGTTTTGATTTTGAAGGAGTGGGAATGATTGAATGAATAGTGTTAGTATTGAATAGGGGGTGCTGGAATCGATACAATGATTGTGAGCAATGGGGGTGGAGATGTGGAATTTCACACACCCAAAAAAAAAATTTGAGGCAAAAGAGGGAAAAAATGGGTGATTTTTATACCTAGATGGGTCAATTTGAAATCAAATTTGGGAATTTTACTGAGTCAATTTATGTGGACTTCAATTTTTCTCCGGTGCATGAAATTTGAGATTTCTTGAAACGTTTTTTTTGTTTATTTCTCCGATTAGATGCAGTAAAATACAGGTCATAATACGGTCGGCTTCTTGAAGTAATATTAAATTACGACAATACCCTTTTTGTTTGAGTAATTATAATTATCTCTCAATTATGTATTTTCTACGAGAAACTACTCATTCAGTAGGTAAATTTGACACCATAAGACAATACAAAGTTGAAGAGTGGTTGTAATCATGGTAGTTAATCTCGCGATATACTGCGATATATATCGTGATACGGTACGGTTCCAATCAAAACGATACAACTCGGGTTTTGTATCGCGTATTGATAAATACCGTTACATACCGCGAGATATCGTATCGTATCTTCGTATCACGATACGATACGATATTTACGATATTAGTTGACAATTAAAAAAAGCGAAAAAAAAAAAGAAGAAACGCAACCAGCTGCTCTGAAAAATGGATTTGAACAAATTTCTTCAATATCCCAACCTTAATTCACGCTTTTCACTTCAATCTCTTCACCAATCCTTACAATATCGCAACCCTTGCAATGCGATTTTAATTTACGCGATTCAAGACATTTTTTTACTGCATTTTGCGATTGATAATAATGAAGGCAATCGTTTAAAATTGGTGGATGAGGACGATTTAGATCTTTAAAATTATGAGTGATCAAATATTTTTACAAATTAGGTATTCGAATTTGAACTTATGGCCCATTTCGCTAAAGTTTATTTTAAACAGCTGATAAATTCTTACATCATCTGATAAGTTGTTTTAAGAGTTGATAAGTTGTTACGTTTTATTCTTAGAATTGATTTTTTCAAGTGTTTAGATAATAATCTTACAAGATATTTTTACTCATTATAAGATCTTAACTAAATAGACAGGATAAATGTACTTTTTCAAAAACTCCACCAACTTATATTTTTAATTTTTAAGATCTTTTAAAAAAATTACTTAACACATTGGAAGAGCTTATAAGCTCTTAAACATCTTATAAGCCTTGACAAACACCACCTTAGATGATGTTATTTGATGAACAATTATATTTTTTGTCATATTTTATAATAATATGTTGAAACTTGAATTTATATATATTTTGAAATGAGTAGTTTAACTAAAAAATAATAAATTTTCTATGTTTATAATATTTTTATAATGTAGATATATATTTTTTACTATTTTAATAGTTGGTTAAATATCTTACGATACGATACGATAACGATACAGTACGAGATGTGGAGCAAAACGATACGAGATATTTTTACGATCCGATAACCATGGTTGTAATTACTCAAGCATGAATGATTTTTTTCGTAATTTAATCTTAATTTAGGGGGTGACCGTAGTTTGCCTTAAAATATAATCGATAGTGAGTGTTGTTTTACAATTTCAATCGAAAAGCAAATTTGTTTTGTCCAACTATATCTTATTATTAGCGTCGGATTAATGAATAAGTTGAGAAATAAAAGATGAAAAGTGTAAAATATTTATTCGTCATAAATTCACGCAGAAATAATATATATTTAAATGTGTGTAAAACGTGTAATTATATGTACATTTGTATGATTATTAATAAATATTAATCGACAAAATTTATAGAGTAAATCAATAAACAAGACCAACGACTTAGAAGCATGTTTGAGTAAGCTTATAAGCTATTAAAATGTCTTAATAAAAAATATTTAAATTTTAATATAAAGAAAACTTATGGTATTTAAGGCAAACAAATAACAAATATTTTAGTAATTTATGCATGTAATAGCAACTTTTAACAATTATTACATGGACCAATTGCTTAATAGAAATAATTTAAATTTTAATTTCCACTTTCTTACAATTTTAAAAAGTAATAGACATTGAAGTTGAACTTTCACATTGACTAGTAAATTATGCATGCATTAGTTACTTTTAACAATTATTTAGGGAGAAGAAAAGAGTCAGCATACATCAGGATTGGGTGAAGTCAAGAGTAATTTTTAGCCGTTGATGTGGTGAAATAATTTCTCACTAAATACACATAAATATGGATGTTTGTGTAATTATATACAAATCGACAATTTTATAATATGTCCGTGTATTCACCAAGTGTAGTATAAAACAAGTTGATGTGGTTGAATAATTTCTCACTAACATACATACATATAAATGAATGTGTAATTACGTGCAGATCAACGGTTAGTGATCTTACTAATCTGGCGATGTAGTTCGTCGGGGCGTAGCATAAAATAAATCGTTAAAAGGAAGCAAGTGCACGCCAACTGATAAAGTTGTGGGGCCCAACGGCACGCCATTCCCGTTTTTAAATTATACAGTTGTGCCAAACAACACCGACCCAACCCTTTTTTTATTTTTATTTTTCAGACAACCAACGGCCATAAAGTTAAGGATAGGTACACAAACTCATCCAATAATTTAGTCACTAATTTTTTAGTTATTATGATATTTTTATCTTTTTCCAACATTGTTAATACATGCTACATGACCGGTTGAATTAGGTATAAGAATAAGAAAGGAAGATTAGGCTTGAAATTTCTCTTACATTTTTAAAAATACTTCAACTATAATATGTATGTGTGTGTACATATATATATATATATATATATATATATATATATATATATATATATATATATATATATATATATATATATATAATACTATACTAATTATTAATAGAATAAATTACAACCACCCTTGAGATACGGTCAAATTACGAAAAAAATACTTTATATTTGGATAATACAATCTTCCTTTAAGAAAAAGAAATGCAAGTTTTCATGGACGGCTCAAGTTAGTGGAGGGCCATCCCTCATTTTGTTGTATAATATGAGAGTAGTTAATTGATTGCCTATTGGTCACACACACAAATCTCTAGTCTTCTATTTTACATTTCTTTTCACCCCTCCTTTATAATTTTTATTACTTACAACTACACAATATCTATAAAATTTGTATACATAGCCTAGGCACATAACTTGTTCAACCAATGGAATTAGACATACCCACCGGACGGATCGAACCCGAACCTAACGGCTAGTTTGACTCCGACTGGGTCGGGTTGACCCGTTCGAGTTAAATATATTTTTTTAACGGTCAAGATCATCGATTGTTTGACATCAACAGATTGTTTGAAATCAACATTCGTTTTGCATTTGTTGATAAGCCCGTTCCAAATTCCACAACACGTCTCCCATACTCGGCCTATCACCGCCACATTCCGCCAAACACTTCTCAGCCGTCTCGGCAAATATCTCCAACGACCCCCCCGTTTTCACCTCACCCGCAATACGCCAATCCACAATCCGCTCGATCATCCCTTTCTGCCGCCACTCCATCGCCCACTCCACCAACTTCAACCCCTCCTCCCCCGTGGCCAACGGGTCAACAACGGGCCTACCACACAACACCTCCACAAGCACAACCCCAAACGAATACACATCCGATTTCTCACTAACCCTTCCTCTCCGCAAATACTCCGGATCTTGATACCCGAAACTACCCTTCACGTCGGTGCTCACGTGGGTTTCATCCACAAGTTGGCCCGGCCTCGAAAGACCGAATCCGGAAATCTTCGCCACGTAGTTTTCGTCGAGCAAAATGTTGCTCGATTTTACGTCGCGGTGAATGATCACTTGAGCGGACCCCGTGTGGAGATAGTGAAGACCCCTAGCAGCATTAATGCATATCTCGAGCCTTTGCTTCCACGATAATGGCGGGAAATTATTCGAACCGTATAAGTGGTTTCTCAACGGACCCTTATCCATGTACTCATAAACAAGAATCAATTCGAATTGCTCTACGCAGAAGCCAACGAGTGACACGAGGTGGCAGTGGCGGATTCTTGACAGGACAGTTATTTCGGTTTGGAATTCTTGGAATGTCAATCCTTGTCTTGAATCTGCGGGCAAGCCTCGTTTTACGGCGACTTTGATGTCGTCTTTAAGAACCCCTCTGTAGACATTACCGAAACTGCCCCTGCCGATTATTAGACTCTCGTCGAAGCCGTTTGTAGCCAACTGTATATCGGCAAAGGGAATCTTCAAATCGTAGTATCCGTGTGGGCCCGGAGAAGCGAATGAGCTTCGCAGAGAAGCCCAGCCCGAAATCGCAGCACTTCTTCGTTTTCGTTTTCTCTTCGATAAAGCCAACATAGCGAGAAATAAACTAAGTGCAAGAAAACCACAAACAAATGAAACCACTAAAATCGAAATGCTCTTCTTTTTAGACCTCCTCTGCGAATATTCCATAATCCTCATGATCTCCACACCATTAAGGATCGCGTTTTTCCTCAAAGGAGTTAGATCGGAAGGGCCGATGCTAATCCTTAAAAAACCCAAATCTTTCGTGTTTTTCACTGCAAAATCTACGTAACAAGGGGATGCCAGGTGGCGAAAAGCGAGCGAGGACAAATCCACGTTCTCGTATGCGGTGATCCCGTTTACGTACACGTTGAAGTACAACGTGTCGAGCGAGACACTAACAATGTCGCAAAAATGGAGACGAACGAAATGCTTGTCGACTCCAAACGGAACCGGATAATCCCATGTTATATTGAATAAACTCCAGCTCCCGTTTGCCACATTCATTTCTCGAGCAGTCATGTACACAATATCGGGCGCGTGGTTTCTAGTCGCGCCACCGGGTCGGTAATTCGGCGGGCTATTCGTTTCAGCTGTTTTCGAAGCGGATTTCAAGACGAGAAAATCTTCGTCTGAAACCCAAGTCCTCCAAACGGTGTCGTTTAGAGGGGTTAGTGTTGAACCCCCAACGTTAACCCTATGAATAGTTTCCATAATTTGGGACGGAATATTCTGTTTGAATTCCTGAATTATTCCATCCGGGCTGATTAATCGTACGCCACCTTCGCCAAAGAAGAGATTTTTCGGCGCGAGGAACACTTCAATCGCATTCACGAACGCGAAATTCGAAACCCTAGTGGGGGCAAACAGAATCTCGAGGTGCTCTGTTTCGTCCGCCATTAACAAGAACTCCCTAACGCCGCTGAAATCAGCACCGAAATTGCTCAGGAGGGAAAACCCATTCGCCGCAACACTGAAATCGCCGTTTCCGAGGCTGTAATTCGCGTTGCTGAAGGGGTAGAAATGCAGACGCAGAAAATGGGTGCCTGGGTTATTGATTTGAAACGAGTAGGTTGAAGCGGAAGTGAACACTCTGGCTGAAGTGTGGAGTGCGGAAGAATTGGGAGGAGGGTTTGGATTATTTAAAGAAATCGATTCACCACCTTGTTGGGAGAGATGGGCTGATGATTTTTGCGATGAATCCCCGACGAAATATCTGTTATCGACGATTACGTGATTTTGGGTTGATCCACATTTGATGAAGTAGTTGTCTTGAGGGGTGGGATTAGCTGTTGAAGAAAGGAAAATGGAGAAAAAAATTAGTTGCAGGAAGTGGAGAGATTTAGCTTCCATGGATTCTCTCTGTGAGTTTTTAGAGAGAGAAAGTGAAATGAAATTTGGAAGAGAGAGAGAGAGAGAGGGGTGAAGGAGAAGAAGTGGATATAGTATAGTGTACCCACTAATTGAAAAGTGGTGGATGACAGAAGAAAAATCACGAGTTCTTGAAAAAAGAATTTGAGTGGGAAACAATACAAAATTTGTTGTTGTTCGTCAACAAAAGAACTGTACAGAGAGTTTGACAGGCCCGGCCCGGCCCGGCCCGTGAAGCTTTTTTTTGTTGCATGTGGATGTGGAGACTAATTTTTACGAGCAATGAATTGATTTTTTTTTATTTTTTTATTATTTTTTTTTTTAAGAATTTGTTTGGATTTGTCAAAACAAAAGAGAGAGTTTCTTTTGGACTAGGGATTTTGATTTGAGAAGATGTTTTCAAGGAAGGATATTGAGTCAAAATAATTTGGTATTTGTGGCAAACATTTAAAATAATCTAAATGGCTCAATCACGAATTGAATGTGAAGTGAAAAAAAACCTAAATAAAAAGAAGTTGACGCGTTTCGAGGGACCTATAAAAAAGAGTGTCGGAAGAGGGTTTTTCGGTATTAGCACTTCGATGATCAGTTTGAATTGCGGAGAAACAATATAAGTGTATTCAGAGAAATATAACAAGAAAATGTGCATTAGGAATACTCGGGAGAGGAAAAACAAAAAGACAAAGAGAGAGTTCAAGAGACTAAAACGATTAATACAGAACGACGACGAAATTTTTGAATTTTAACTTTTAGCTTTATTACACCAATTTGTCATAAATTAGGGTTCTTAATTCTTAGAGTTAAAATTAAAAGAAATCATCTAAATTCAATATTGGAACTTAGATTTGGATGGATTAGCTTCATGAACAAACAAAATTTTCTTACAAATTAGCAAGTGAGATGTTTATACAACTTTATGCATAGTTAATCATTACAAATAAGAACCAACAAGGAATTTGTAGAAAAAACTAACCCATTCTTGATGCCTTTTGAATGAGCAACATGGCATTTTAATCCTTGTTGAAATAACAACAAATTAATATGATCCCACCCAAATTGTTCGAATCTGATTGATTACATACGGTTGCTAGATGGAGCTTTTCAAACATAGTCAGCCTAATGTGATTTATGTCTCTCGTATGGTTTGCAAGTTATTATACGAGAATATAGGTTTACCCAGTGCACATATATGGTTGGTTGCAGGTTCCGTCATTGCTAAAAGAAAAAAAAGAAAAGTGGTATAGATACACTTATATATCTTTCTTTAGGAGATGAATTTGTTGAACTTTATGTATTAATTGGTAAAACATATGAAATAAAATTTATTTTTCAACAACTTATTGTATTAATTATTAACAAAATATAAGGTTATATAAATGGGCTTGTAGCCTTGTAGGCCCATGTAGCGAGGAAGCATTGGGCTCCCTTAAAATCTTTTCTCTTTTTCTTTTTGAAAAATCCTGAAATTCGATTCCACATTTGTTTTTTAATCAGCACGTAATTCAATCAAATTCTCTCGCTCGATCGATCAAATTCTCAAGTTCATTTTCAATCAGATTGGGGAATTCGGCAGAGTATCTGATCGCAGGTAAATTTCTAATTTTTCACAGCATTTTCGCTGCATCTTTAGCGGGTTTTTTGAATTCTAGGGTTTTTTCTTTTTTTCTGATTCAATATGATCAGTGTCTTTAATGTGAGAAATAAACCACTTCATTATGTTATTTAACTTCGATATTTAAGGTATACGATTTCTGAACTTGTTTCCTGCATCTCAGTATCCCAAGAACAGTTTTTTTAGATGAAGTCTGTATCTTGGGTAAAAACCAAAATTAGTAGGGCTAATGGTATTCTGCAGTATTTTCGGAAGTTTTATTCACCACATTTTTCAATTTAAAATACTCGAACCAAGCTAATGTACATAAAGGCGATAGCCGATATGGTAAATATGATTTTGTTACTTGGAGTTGATGAGTGCTGTGCTAAATTTTCGAGGCAACTGCGACGTAATGACAATTATTCGTCCACTTAGAGCATTATGTAAATCAACTACGGAATAGACGTTAACTTCTCAATGTTAAATCTATCTTTGCGTAAATCAGTTAAATCTTGAATAGAATATAATGTATCCCAATAAACAGCGTATTTGTTTGTTTGGATAGAATACTCTGAGGTCTCGAATAGAATGTAATATAAACCACGGAACAGCTTATTTGTTTTGCTTTGGTTCATTCATTCATTCACGTTTTTTGATTTACTGAATCTCACAATACAAAATTTGTGTAATGCTTGCAGATTGAGAGTTAAAGTATCTTAAACCGTCATCAACAACTGACGCAGTACCATGGTATTGACCGATCCCATTGTCTGATTGTGCTTGCCTATTTTTTTGCATGTACCCGGTCTTATTTCACCAGTTATAAGTTTTAATTCAATGATTGTGCTGATGTATGACGATGATCTCTCTCACTGGTTTAATGGGGTTTTTTTTACCAATGCAAGAATGTTATACTAACGTGTAGAGTCTTATTTCTATTATTTTGTTCCCAGTCGAGTCCTTCAGTAGAGTCTTTTTATTGGCAGAAATGCATAAATTAACGTTAACGAGTAGTTTTTGAAGCAGGTGATTAGCCTAATTATGCTTTTCATTATCAATGGCAGGACTCCAGCCATCTTAACGATGATAAATCGGAGAGCAGACTGTATATCGGTAACCTTGATCTGAGAATAACAGAGTAAGTTGCATCTGTGTGTAGTCAAAAGTTCTTTTTCCAAGCCTAGATTTCCACCAGCTAGCCCATTGAGCTTAGATTCTTTGCAGGGCGACTCTGATTAAGATGTTTTGTCCATATGGAAAGATTATCTCTGAAGAATTCCTATGGCATACTCGTGGCCCTAAACGTGGAGAACCACGTGGTTATGCTTTTATCCAATTCGGTTCTAAAGAGGTAAAGTTTTTTTTTTTTTTTTTCAGAAAAAAAAAAACGACGCAAGCTAACTTATTCTTTCGTGGTTTGTTCAGTTTATAGCAAATTTCTGATTCCTGGTATTAAAGTGAGCATGCAGGAAGCTATAAGGGCCAAGGAGAAGATGCATGGGAGAATGGCTTGTGGGCGACCTTTGGTTGTTCGTCTAGCAAGTGAGAAAGACCCTTTCGAAGGATTAGCTAATTCTTCCAAAAGTGTTGAAGGAACAAGGTCGTCTAGTCTTTCGGGTAGTGGTTGTGGACAAATTATTAATCGAAGCGCTAAAATAGCTGCAATAAAGAACAAACTAAAGGCCATGGACGATGAAGAGAGCTATAAAAACTCGAAAAAACGTAAGCAAATCGATACATCTTGCACAGATAGCCACCAGAATCCTTCTCCTGAAAGGTAATAGGGCTTAAAAGTTTTTTCTTTTTTTCTTTTTGTAATTTTATTGTTATTTAGGTGCTATCGACTGGTTTTCTGGTAATGTATTGACATTTATCAAACAGTTGTATTTATGGATGAACATGGTGACTAATTTGGTTCAATGTAGACATCATGCTATAAGATCCAATTCAGTTACTATAAAAACACTCGTGCAACAACTTTCGGGGAGTGCCCGATGTCAGAGATGAAGATCAAAGAAAGAAAAATAAAATTAATAACATAAGAAAAATAATTTTATGCTTTTGTATGTTAAAAAAATCATTATAATATTACAGAGAGTAAGCAAAGCAGCTCTCTACTCGAAACTCTGCTTCTGTATAAAGAGGCAGCAATATCTCAACTTACAACAAACAATCAACCAAAGCACAACAATATACATTTAAACTTCAAAAATCACAACAGTCTACTCACAAGCAAGCAAAAAACAAAAAAAAAAAAAACAAAAGGGCCTCACGTATACAAAAACCATAACTGAGTACTAACTTAGGCCAGACTTCAATCACAACGGCCTCCTGCGGTTGTTAAAAATACAAGTATCGACACTATAACTGCATAACTTTATTCTGTTTAACACAAACCGGTGCCTTGAACGTTTGGCACTTCCACATCGATGCCCTCTCTACAGGCAACAAATTATTGTCCGACGGCCCCATTTGAAACAGGGTCTGGTTATCTTCCAACAGTGGCGCCCCTCGTAATTTCAGCTCCTCTTTGGGACCACTTTGATCCTTGGAACTACAAATACTCAACGGCAACTTTTTCTGCTTCATTCTTCCCCTTTTTTTACCGTAACTATCCAAAACTTCGTTATTTTCAAACTTCAATCGGTCACCTTTGTCATGTTTCGGTGTGCTCAAATCTACCATAATCGTGTCTATCTTCTTTATTACAGGACCTTCTGTGTCTACCTCACCTACTGCACCATGACCACTGCTAGTAGTAGTAGTGGTGGTGTCTGCAGAGCTTTTCAGCCTTTTATGCTTGTGATTTTTTACAACGGAATCTGACGAGTTCTTCAAGATTCTTGGAGAACTGTTGATGGCTTGGTGCAACTTACGGGCCAATTCTTCGTCTGTTCTACAGTTAGTAGTATTTTTGCCTTTGTTTTTATTGTACAGTGTTTCGACAGGAACCTGCTTCTTCATCTTGTTCTTTTTCAGGTGTTTTTCTTCGACTGCCACCTCATCGGAAAGAGTGGCGACAAGATCCAATGCAGTCTTGGCAGCAGCTACTGCCTTTGCGGCTTTTGCGGCTTTCTCTTCAGCATTGGCTCTCGCAGCTTTTGCAACTTTTGCAGCTTCTGTAGCTGCAATTCTAGACGCTTCGACAATCTCTTCATTCGAAAGATTAGGATTAATCAACTGGGACTTAAACGGATTATTGAGATGCACGTAGTTCTTGCTCCCAGCAACAATAGCAGTTGCTGGCGGTGGGGAATTGACATCAGAATTCTGCCGCTTCAATCCGGCCAGAAGCCGTTTTCGAGGTGGCAAAAGGGCGTCAGCTTCCAAGTGATTAACATCACATGTAGTTGTCTCCATATTCTTCTGTATCTACATGCAAACAAGTTGGTTTGCGAACCTTCACACTACAAAAAAAAAAATGAACATTTGAATCTTTAAATCTTTAGCACAAGATTCTCAGCCGCACAACCCCGTTTTCGTATTCATCCAAATTTCTTAAAACCTGCATATGCCTTTACATGAATATTGTGGCCCTAAACCATACATAACTCACACCATCAACCAAATCTAATACAGATAAAATAGCAATCCAAATTCAAATCCAAACCCTAGTAAACAAGAATCAATGAAGCCTACAATTATGCAAGATAAAAGGGAAAGCAAACTTAACCTAATTTAACAGCAATGACTTAAAAATTTATTGCATAAGTGAAAAATAGATCTTGATAGAATAGATTCGATCTAACAGCAGAATTCCAGTCTTAAATAGAATCATACAGAATCTGATTGACCTAAATTCCATAATCATGAAGGTGTAATCATGAACTAATTATAATCATTGCAGGGATCCTCCAATTCTCTGATCTCTGTCATCTTAGAAAAAATACAGAGTAGGGTTTTTTAGGGAGATAAGACAGGGTTGGAAGAAAGTAGGGCAAAAATGAAACCCTAGGGTTTCATCAGAAAACCACAGATCTATGCAATTAATTTAGCTTCCAATTATGAAAATCGAATGCAGATTCCCTTTCATGATGATGATGATCATGGTGATGATGATGATAACATAAAAGCAACCAATATAATTTACTGTATTATATAATTCAAAATTATGAAGAAAAAAAATAAAGATTACGATTTCAATTCACTTACCTGTAAAGGATAGCCAATCAAAATCCTCCCCTGTACGCTTTCCGATTATGCATCCTCGGATGTTTTCAGCTCACAAAAATCACGCTACAACAAAAAATATATATATAAATATATGTATCTTCACAAAACAGCTTTGAATTTACAGATTCATTTTTTAATCTCCTCTGTTTCAATTCGCATCGTCATCAGCCAAAAGTACAACGCACGGAAAAATGCAGCGCCATGGCCAGCTGGTGCCGTGATTGGATCAAATGAACCGTGAATTTATGGTCGTCGGATCACGAACATGAGCAGTGGAGAAAATCCGACGGATGATTTCTAGAGAGAGAATTGTGGATTGATGAATTGTTTCTTCTCTTCCTCTTCCTCTGTGTTCATATTTGAGAGAGAGAGAAGATGGGGCTTTGGAGGAGTGATTTCACCATGTATTCCCTGTCAGTGCGTGTGACGATTTTGCCCTTGTGTATTTTTCTGATGTGACGAAAGTACCCCTTTGGTGCCCTAAAGGCCTAAACATCTACATCTTCATATTTATCTCTAGCATTAAAAACTCCATGAAATTATTTAATTTGAAGATTTATCAAAATCTAATGTACATATGGAAAATGTGGACCATGTTAAATGTGTGATATCACATCCTTATTAAAATATGAATGGATTTCAGTTATATCACAAATGACCTAGCGGTTGGAATAAACGAGCTTGTGTCAATTGACCTAAGTTCGAATTCCTTTGCCAACGGTCGTTAAGTCGAACTTGTCACACATGGTTAGTCTAGTGTAGTTTACGTAAAAAAAAATGACGAAACTATGCAACGGTGGGTAACTCGTCGAAATACACGCCTACTGTAAAACGATTGCAGAAACTGATCAGAGCTCCAAACCATAAGCAAGTACCATGAAAAGACGCCGGAGGGAAAATTATGAGAAAAATAAGATACGAAGAGACGGTTGTGGTCGGTTAGTGTTTAATACTAATTTCTAATAAGCAAGTACTATCAAAAGACGCCGAAGAAAAAGTTATGAGAAAAATGAGATACAAAGAGACGATTGTGGTCGGTTAATGTTTAGTACTGATTTCTAACAAGCAAGTACCATCAAAAGGCGCCGAAGAAAAATTTATGAGAAAAATGAGATACAAAGAGATGGTTGTGGTCTGTTAGTGTTTAATATTGATTCTCTACAAGTTTAATAGGCACTCCATGCGAGGTATATGTCAAGTTTATGTATATAAAAAAGGGGTAATGGCAAATAGGCCCATGACAAGGACACTTAATTAAAATAGGGACATCCAACTTTTTTGTCTTTCAAATAAATCCACCCCATTCAAACTTATTTGCAAATAAGGAAAATCCCTTTATATATACCAAAATTACCCCCAATTCATTTGAAACCCAATTTAACTTCAATTTCATGATTTACACCCCAATTTAGCCCAATTTCATCAATTAACCAATTTTAACCCAAATTTCAATTTTGACCCCAATTTTAACCCTAATTCGTATCAAATCCACCCATTATGCTCTAACTTCTGTAATATTACACATTGACCCCGGATTTTAACAAATATATCACATTAACCCCCAAAACTTTTTTTTTTCAGAAAATAATTTTTTTTCTGAAATATTTTTTTTCCGGCCAGATTCCGGCGTTGACCGCCGGTCTCCGGCGTTGACTTTTTTTATTTTATTTTGTTTTCCTGAAATTTTTTTCCGGTCGGTCAACGGCCGTTGACCGCCGGGTCTCCGGCGTTGACTTTTTTTTTTTTTTTTTTTTCTTAAAAAAAATATTTTAATTAATTTTACTGTCTTGGCTGCTAAATTACTGTCTCCGGCAGCTATTTAACTGTCGGAGACAGTAATTTAACTGTTAATTGACTGTTTTTTTTTTTTTTTTTTCTTCAAAAATATTTTAATTAATATTACTGTATTCGTTGCTAAATTACTGTCTCCAGCAGTTATTTAACTGTCGGAGACAGTAATTTAACTGTTAATTGACTTTTTTATTCTTAAAAAAATATTTTTAATTAATATTACTGTATTCGTTGCTAAATTACTGTCTCCAGCAGTTATTTAACTGTCGGAGACAGTAATTTAACTGTTAATTGACTTTTTTATTCTTAAAAAAAATATTTTTAATTAATATTACTGTATTCGTTGCTAAATTACTGTCTCCAGCAGTTATTTAACTGTCGGAGACAGTAATTTACCTGTTAATTCACTTTTTTATCCTTAAAAAAAATATTTTCAATTAATATTACTGTATCCGTTGCTAAATTACTGTCTCCAGCAGTTATTTAACTTTGGTGGTCAAGACAGTAATATTAATTAAAATATTTTTTTTTTAAGAAAAAACAATTCGAAAAAAAAAAAAAAAAAAAGTAAAAGTCAACGGTGGTTGACCGGCCGGAAAAAAAAAGCAGGAAAAAAAAATTTCAAAAAAAAAAAAAAGTCAATGCCGGAGACCGGCGGTCTCCGGCGGTCAACGCCGGAATCTGGCCGGAAAAAAAACAGTTCAGAAAAAAAATTATTTTCTGAAAAAAAAAAGTTTTGGGGGTTAATGTGATATATTTGTTTAAATCCGGGGTCAATGTGTAATATTAAGGAAGTTAGAGCATAATGGGTGGAATTGTTAAGAATTATATTATTGAGGGTATTTTAGACTAAAGACATGGGGATGGGCTTAATTGAGAGACTGTTTTTTTTGTGGACTAAAATGCATTTAAGTCCCATGTGATGGGCCTTTTTGCCATTTGCCCTATAAAAAATCATAAGTTATTGGTTGTTAGTTTAATATATTTCTCAAATGAATATTGTCCCAAAGTAGAATTTACATGACCTAATGCGTGTATGACATTATATTTTCAACACGTTGTTGTAGGCTCGAATAACATTTTGATAGTTTATGGAAGAAAATGAAAAACGAAAAAAGATAAATAAATAAAATGCTTTTGATTTATAGCTAACCTTGAAATATAATGTAGATCAAATTTCTTAAAAATTAATGCTCAGCTGTCCTAATGACAAACACGTTTTTAGTGATTATTTTTTGTTATTTTCTGTTCCCATTATATTGTAAATCAGTTTCCTTGATCAACTTTTCTAAAATACACCTAACAAGTCACTTGGTTAAAAATGTATTAGCGACCCGTTTGGCTAAGTCTATGATAAGTTGTGATAAGTTGTTTCAAAGTCAGGAACAAAAAAAATTGAAACTTGTATGAATTATTTTAGCAAATTAAAATCGAAATCTGACATATTCCATTTTAGATTAAAAAAAAAATGCTAAAATCAGAACAAAAAATATTGTTCAAAAATCGAAAAAAATCGGATTTGAACCGGTGTGGATCCCTAACTACCCCCATCGACAGACGAATACAAAATCAAGTAGTGGAAAATATCAACTAGGCATCCACACCACTTGGAAGGCTCATCATCACCATTTAAAGAAAAACAATAAATAGTTTCCCAAATTTACAATTATCAATAGTTTATGTCAAATTGTACAACAAATAGATGGGTATAGTGTAGCTGTATCTAATACTATCTTAAGTAAAAATAGAATTCCACTAGTCACATTCAATTAATTAAAAAAAACATAAAGATGCTTAAAATAAGTTCCAGGACACATTTTAACTGTGACGAATCGATTAGTAAGATTTTGCGAAAATCGCAACTTCATCGGCAGGATTGCCAGTCATCAAGCAAGTCTTTGTCCCCTGTGGCTGTTCGAAAGGGAAACATCTAATTGTAGCCCCCGTTTCTTCTTTCACCTTCAGTTCCTCTTTGTCACTGAACAAATGAATCAAAATAATGTCCCACGTCGGGAAATTAAATACATATCTTCTTATATGTTCGTTCGAATGAGGGAAATATTTTCGAAAGCAAATTAAGTACCTGGCTGACCAAGGGCCTCTTGCCCACTTGCCTTGAGCTATTGCCTCTTTAAGCTCGTTGTACGAGCACACGTCAACAATGTTACTGGACAACGACATTTTTAAAATCTTCCATTTAGTAGTGTGGCACAAACTTATGAAACATAATCAAGACATTTGCTTGATAACGGATCAAGAAATGACAAATATAACCCTCTATTTGGTAAAAATGGCCTAGGCGATATCTATTTTGCAGAAGGATAATCAATTTTTATATCAATAATATCGACCAGCTTTGTGGAAAATATTACCTATCTCGAAATGATGTCGCTTTTTCAAGAAGAGCGGACTGGACCTCGTCCAGCTTGCCTTTTACGTAAGCCACCAATGTTGAAGATTCCATTGATATACCAAAAACTTTCCCTTGTTTTCCAGGAATATCTCTTCTAGAAACAACTACACTCCCGCTTGAAACGTCTCGAGGCCCAATTTCAATCCTTAGAGGCACACCCTAGATGAAACAAAGATAAATCAACTTAATTTCATGTCTGGTAATCGTAAAAGTATTACTAAGAAAATTTATACACAGTTCCAATGAATAATTGTATCCTAAAACATTGCGAAACATTGAACATTACAAGGGCGACGCAACTAGAAAGTGTTTTTACAGAAAATAGCCAAAATGGATATACACAATTAACAACCAACAATATTAAAGGGCATAAATACAAATTTAAGAAGTTGAGTGTGTTATATAACTGCACTTCAACCCGCAATTACATCCCTTTTCGTTTTCCATTATCTTTCCAGACATTGTTAATGCATATCAGGTAAATTGCTGAGTGGTGAAGAAAAAGAGTGCAACAGTCAATGAGTGACAAGAACAAACCTTCATTTCCCAAAAATTGAACTTCCAACCAGGTGTTCTCTGCTCGGAGTCATCAACTTTAACCCTAATTCCGGCAGCTTGGAGAGTTTCTTTGACAGTTGAGGCAGCATCTAAAACTCCTGAGCTCTCATCTGCCTTCTTCCATATTGGAACTACTATGACCTGAAAGCCTTCATTAGTTAGAGACCAAAACTCGCTATAGGCATGTATAGAGATTGCACTTTACTGGACTGCTATATCACATAAACTAAAAAGGAGGGAACCCAACGTATTACGAGAATATGGCCCCTTTGTTCCTTTTTGTGTCTCTTTAGCCATAATTTTTTCCCCATATTATGTGTCATTTTAGAGTTTTAAGCCAGAATTAAATCGTTTTACCATTTTTTTTCCCTTTCATCGTTAGCGTGTGTTTAAATAACTTTGTGAACATGTGTAAAGGGTAATTTTGGGCTTTTCCGATAAAATGGATACTATTATTAGGATGTAGGCTTCTTAATTTGTGTGCATCAACCTTAGACCCAAATTAGCAAGAAAACGGAGGGAGTAGTTGATAAAAAAAATTTAATTATATAATAGAATAAAGTAAACCTCTTCCAGAGTTTACAGTGATGTGAAAATGGCAAAAAAGCGATGAGGGATAAAAGCCAAAGATTATTCCCTTTACACGCAGTACATGTCATAATAATGCATTTCAGTAACATATGGTTGTCCACTATTATATAACATATACTGTGCAGCCATTGTGTATGCCATTGGTTATTTATAACATCTAGCATTCTGTTGCATCATAAATGTTTCCAGTTGTGCATGAGGATAATCAAGCACATCATAGCATTTTTTTCTTTTATTTTTTTTGAGAAAAGCACATCATAGCATTAGAAGCATATAAATTAGTGAAGTAGGCAACGAAAACTCGGTAATAACCTTTAATATTGGTACCATAGCTACCAGTTAATGCGTAGAAAAATACCTGAATGGGGGCTAGATTTGGAGGAAGCATCAAACCAGCATCATCGCCATGCGTCATAATGATACCGCCAACAAATCTGGTGCTAATTGCCCATGATGTCTGCCACACATGTTGCCTTTGCCCATTTTCATCAGTGAACTGTATGAGGTAAAGTTATTAGTTGAAAATTATTCAACACATTATATGCGTAGAAGAAAAAAAAACGATGTCCGACAGTAAGCAAGTGAAATGTATGTAACTGAAAGAATTTAGAACATATAAAAGTGGAACTTTTAAGGAGGGGCTCAAAAAAGAGAAAAAACACTACTTCCTAAAACTTTTCCATGTTTCAGAAGAAATCGTTAAATTATGGAGAAGTCGCTTTTATCAGGTTGATACCTGGTTGTATTAGCTTTTGTGCTCATGAATGCAGTGGTTTGTCAAAACTTGGGACACAACTCAAAGTAAAAGCTCAATACGAACACGGCACACAAAATTGCATGTGAGGTTCTTATCATTGAGTAGAAAAAAATAATCCACTTTAAGGATCTACGACAAGCACTCTGAAAAAAACCCAACTTCGCAGAAACTCGAGCACACACAGACATAAATTACTGAATGATGTGTGCTTATCAACCTGTGTTCCAAATGCACGGGAAAAATTCTGTCCAAGGTTGTGGCTTGTTCCAGCCTGCAAAGCCTTCCGATCACCCATCATTGCTTCAATAGTATAGGTCTTCGCAGCACCTGCAAAGGTTTCTACCTTTGATTTACGACCTGGAATAACAGGTATTGCAGCTTGCTCAAAAGCAAATTTTGTGTACATGTCAATCATCTGTAATGCCTGCAGTTTGCATCATGAATTCGTCAAAATAAAACTATAGCGCATACGCACAATCATATCAAACAAAGAGAAAGCAAACCTCCTTTTCTGCCTCTTCTGGAGTAGCATGAGCTGTGTGGCCTTCTTGCCAAAGAAATTCAAGAGTTCTCACAAACGGTTTAGTACGCATCTCCCATCTTGTGACATTTACCCACTGAAATAAGTTAAAACAGTAAAAAGAGTACCCAATACTTCTCTAGGTTGTAAACGAAAAAGATATGGTGTGCCACAGATATATACCTGGTTGATCATTAGAGGAAGATCACGGTAACTATGAATCCACTGAGTGAACATGTGGTTCACAATGGTTTCACTCGTAGGCCGCACCTGCCAGAACCTCAAGAAGTGCAATAATCAAAAAGTAAACTCAGGTTGTATCATTTAAAATTTAATAAGCATATTGATTGGTCGCAAAAAGTAACATAATGAAGAAAAACGAACACACACTAAAAAATGGATGGGAAAAAGAATCATGCATTACAAAAGGTTGCAGCAAGTATTCTTACCACAAGCTTTTCTTCGAGCTCCTTTCCTCCTCCAATCGTCACAAGAGCTAATTCTGGACTAAAACCTTCAACATGGCTAGCTTCTTTCTCAATAAACGAGTATGGTATAAGCTGCAAATGTTTTCATATTCAGGGCATTTAGTCGAACTAAATACCAAACGAATCATGTTATAATAACTGCTTAATTCACTCAAGCAAATAGCTAATTGTATAGGTTTCTGAAGTCAGCTAAGGATTATGGGCACAAGTTAACTTCACTAATCAATTAATAATAAGAACAACTTATAGATATCCAATAAATCAGAATTAATTACTTGTAGAAAATTAATTATACGCAACATCGAAATACGAAGTGATGGATGATCCTCGCTCACCTGAGGGAAATACATATTACTATGACCAGTCTCCTTAAACTTCACATTCAGATAATCCTGCACCAATCAAATAACATAATTAACATCAAATTTCAAATCCCCTCTTAAATTGGAAACCTTATGCAATAGTAAGAAACCTGAATTGCTTCCCAAATGGCGTAACCGTAGGGGCGAATGACCATGGTGCCGCGAACGGGGCCATAATCAGCCAGCTCAGCATTAGCAATGATATCTAAATACCAAGCATTGAAGTCCTGCGATCGAGGAGTAATAACTCGATCCTTCTCTTGCTGAATTTTCGGCTTCGGTGAGGAGCTGCGTTCAACTTCGGGAGGAGGTGTCGCGACTTCTTTCTCAACGATGCTGCTTTGCACGGAGAAATTGGCGGCGGAGAGTGGGCGGAGTGGAAGGAGTAGACGACGGCAGAATTGGTAGCGTGGAACTGCCGCGGCGGCGGAGGAGAGTGAAGTGAGGGACGGCAGTCTGAGACTGAGCGCACCCATTTAGTGGTGGTGGTGGTGAGGAAGAAGAATGAAATTTTGGGGTTCGTTTGAGATGAGGTTTATATATCTTCAAAATCAAAGTCAAATTATAAAGTCAAAAAACAAATTAAAAATTAAAAAAAAAAAAAAAAAAAACAAATACAGTACAACTGTAACTATAACATTGATAAACTCATTATTAGTTCAATAATTTAATATTTCGTTAAATTAATAGAATTTTGTTAGTCTCAACTAATTTATGGAGGTTTAACCGTAGCAATTGAACAACAATGTAATGAAATTAATTAACAAATTAAAATGGCTCTCTATAATTCTATCAAACTTATCTTATAAGTTTAATAAAATTATTAATTTTAACATTGTCGTCATATTGTGACTAACCAACAATATTATTTGAGTGTGAATTATTAATTAATCTAACACTTAATTGAAACAATTTTACTCTATAAAATTCATGTGCAAGGACAATAATTTGCAAAATAAATGTAGAATGCAAGATTTATCTACTAAGAAAAACGTAGGTTAAGTGCAGATTATCCACCCTGCTCTAAACATATTATCACCTACAATGAGTTATATATATAAAGAACCAAACTAGCATAGTAGAGTTTATCAGATCATGAGAAGATCTGCTTTCTCTATACGAAAAATAACGCAGACAGTATAGATTATATCATCAGATAATCCTGTCCCTCTGTCATCGAATCAACGTAAAAGCTAAGGTGTCTGAATCACCATCAATTCAGACAATTCGTCATCCTCCCAGTTCGTATACGGGGCCCGCGGTGACTTTGGAGATCGACATGCAGGCGAAAGCTCCGATTTCTTGAACCGAACAACTTCATCTCCACAAAGATGCTCTGCCGAGATCTCTTCCATTTCCAAATGCTTCATCTTACTCTCAGCCTGAAAAACAGTCTCACGGGTAAACTTTCTCTGGGTCCGTAATTTTTTCTACCGATTAACCAAAATTAGAAAAGAGCGAAAAAAAAAGAAACTACCTTCTTCGAGGATAACTGAAGTGCCTTTCTACCCGATAACTTCACAGGAATATCTAATAACACCACAAACTAATTACTACACGGAAACATAGTAAAATATGAAGTTAGTGATTTTCAATCAAAGATGAGGTTTTTATTACCATTACTTAGTCCTACGGACATCAGAAAATAGTCCATGTCCACAGCTTTCGCCTGAGCTGCAACGCACTCACGGTGATTGTGCAGAAACCTCTCCTCCACCACAGAACCGGGAAACTTTTCTTCTGCTACAGCATTCAGCTTTCTGCCCACACTCGGCGCCAGCTTTGGTGGCGGCTTAACCGAGTTTGTAAGGTCACGGAGTGCTTTCCTACCACCAGCTTTTCCTTTCTCAGCTGCCTTCGATAATTTGGCTTTACCGTCGAAAGAATCTTTGTCAATAGAAATGACATTCGTAGGATTGTTGTCTTTTCTAACGGAGTGAACCATAGAAGGCTTTCTTGAGTTTGATATGTCGTTGAGAGCTTTCCTTCCACCGAGGCCTCCTCCTCTCTTATCTGCTTTCGTCACATCAGCTTTTACACCAGGAGTTGAGCCTACATTAAAGAAAATATAATATATCAGCTAAAATCTAACTAAGATAGGTCGATACGAAAAATTATTCACCATTATTATATAGGTTGAAGTTACCATTGTAGAGGATATTTAGGTTCTGATCTTGGATCAGGCGATGAGCTGGGGTTGCCATGTTTGCTTCGCGCTCTGGAAAACACAATGGGAGTTGGAATTAGCAATTAAACGTAACAGGGAGATATATCGTAATTTGATAAATACAGACAATCGTCTGCCAAGAAAAACCACCGTGCATCGTAATTAACCAGATAGTGCGCATACAAACGTCCTTAAAAAAAATTCTGCCACCCACAAATTCAGCATACTTGCAAGCAATCCCTCAATTTCTCGCAATAGACATAACTTGTGATGTAATTAACTTAATCATTAGTGTCACGATTCGACTCGAATAGAGTACAACAACACGACTTCATTCACCCCTGAGGATTATCCATGTAATTTATAATAGAGAAAAGGGGAAGAGAATAATACTTCATTAGCGATATCCGTCTCTAACAACCAACCATGTTCTTTGCATGAATTTTACTTTGAATAATACTTCATTAGCTAGACATGCGAAAAACACTGTTTTAAACCGAGTACGACCTAAAATATTCTCAGCCAATAAAACATCGAGACTCTGCCAATTGATTCATTCTATCTTGAATTCAGTCATCCATCTTCACAAGGTACAAAAGAAGGAATAAATTTGATCAATCCATCATTTTACCATTAAAAAAAAATCATAAATCGGGAAAACCCTCTAAAAAAAAGGTTGAGCTTCTGGTCTTATTAGACACCACAAACAATAAGATCACTTTGGTACAAAGAAGGAAGTAAAATCTGCCATGGTGGAACCTAATCATCGAGAAAAATCGAAATACATGGGATAAGTACAAACAAATTAAATCGACACCATATTCAAATAAAACCTTTAATTTACAATCAAACTTCAGATTTAGGGTTTTGTATAAATCGGATCCCAATTGAAACCAATGACGGCCATTAAAAAATTAAAAGAAAAAATAAAGGCGGATTGATTCATCGAGCTATTAGCCCTAACTATTACAAATGGATCAGAACAACCAAAATAATTCAGTTATATACAGAGATTTAATTACACACATATACGCTTACTCCATAACCCAGTTTTCATGGAGAGATCGCAAAGAAAAAGGCAGAGGGTTTCAAGAGGTATATTAGATTACTCACAGATGAAATTTTCTGAATTTTCTTGCTCTTCACGTGAAAATTTCTTGGTAATCTTCCCGATTATTCTACAACAAAATTTGAATATCTATTTTTTTTTTCCCCCACTCTTCCTTCAATTCGTGAACGGCTATTGAAATTGAAGCGCAATGAGTCTGTAATTGTGGGGGTCCTTTTTGCTGGTTCGTGTATAAAAAGGCGGTGGAGAAGCAACGGTCAAATTTCTACTTCATATTGAAATACGCCCTCTTTTAGCTATTATTTACGAAATTGCCATTTTCCAACTTGAACTATTTTAAGTCAGTTGATTTGTGGATATTAAACTCAACATGCTAAAAATTAAATAAATAAAATGAAAATGCCACCGATGCACGTTTCGAACAGCGGAGCGAGGGTATGAATTTTGGTAGGAACTTGCGGCTGAATTAAATTCTAAAAAAACAATAGTAGTTTTGTTAAGCTTATGAAATAGTTAGTCGAAATTGGATCACCGAAGTAATGTATAACGATGTGTTAGATTTCATTATTATTCGACCTAATACTAAATTTTATCATCTTACATGCTAAATTTTGCAAGTACTCCGACACGATGTATATTCAACATTAAAGAATCTCAATGAATTCACTTACGATACAAATAGTTGAGCACTATTCATTCGTTCATTCTCCCCATTACTTAATAACAATTAATTATACATACCTTCTCCATATTAATTCCAACCATCAATTTCCAAAAGCATTCATTCATTTCACAGATATAGCTTTCCTACTTTCGTAACTTTTCTACTTTGCTAGATATGTATTAAATCTTGCCATCATTGCTTACCTAAAAAATATTAATTTGATTTTTTTTTTTAATTGTGTTGTGTGCAGATCTTGCGTTAATCTATTTTTGTAGAGATGAGTTAAAATTAGCAATTTTGCTCCTCCGATTTTTCAAATTTTAGATAATATTCTATTATACAATATAAATAATGATGGTGTATGATCTACACCTTCAAGACTGCCTTCAGAACCTTGTTCCCTTGACCGTCGGAAAATCCACCTAAACCGGTAATATGGCTGGCAACGACGAATTAAATGGACAGAAAGTATAAGTGAAGAGAGAGTATATAAGAGTGTGTGTGTTCTTGTATTACAGCAAAAAACGTAACCCTAAAAGGGGCTCAGTACACTCATTTATATACGATGTTTTACAATGGTTTTTCCCTTTCTCAATGAGTCTCTATTTATATTCACTATGATTCATCAATATCCGCTCTTAATTTGCGCTTCAATCTTGTTTATGTTTGGGTTTTATCTTCAAATCAGCCTTCCCTGGCCAGCTCGTCACCTACCACGCAGAGGTCTCTTTTCCGTTCCGCGAGTCCGTAAGGAGCAAGCTTTTATTTCATGCAAGCTCTTCTTTTAGCCAGGCTTGTGTATCTCGGGTTTCTTGCTTAATGGGCTAGCGGCCCAAATTCCTCGTTCCATCCTCAACCCTTCGGAATCTGGCCCAACGGACTCGTTTTCAACTCGTTGGCTCAACCTTGCCAAATTAACCCCAATCAAATAATAATATTAATCCCACCATTGAAAACTTTAACATTACGAAGAAGAATAGTGAATACCTAGAACATGTCGACTAATTAGAGGAGCCTGTTCGGTAGCATGCTTAAAATCGAAAAATCGAAACAAAACCTTAAAAAATAAAATCTTTCTTTCACGCGCCGCATTTGAACGGTGAAACCACCCCTTCAGACTTCACCAAATGATCCCTTTAGTTTTTCCAATAAAAATATTATGTCTTCGAAAAAATAAATATTAGTTAAAGACGCATTCAAATAGAAAGTCGTTTGGAATATGGTCCTCATGAGTTCCAATCATGAGAAAACACGTGTCCCACCAACTGGAACTAACTGAAACCACAACCTAAATAAATTAATTAATTAATCCCAAACTAATGGAACCCACCATTTCACACCTTTGAGTTAGGGGGCAATAAGCAAATCCCATAAAAATCAGCACTTGCCAAATTTTTTTATATTTCAATTTTCTTTATTTATTTCTTTTTTCTTGTTGTTCAATCATCACATAATCGTGCAACCTCTTTTATCATATCTCCAATGGATCATTATATTTTGGTACAAAATAACTAGTTACATCATTGTGAAATTAAATTCTGATATATTAAATTAATAAACTTTAGGATAACCTGAGAAATTCTAATGATATATTCGTAATTATTTTGTAGCATTTTAAATTAATTTTATCTTCAATTTTTAGGCTCTTAATTTATAGCCTTTTTTTCATAGTAAATCTAGCATATTGTTATTCAATCATAATTCATAATTCACTACTAAACTAAGGAACAAATTATATGATGGGGTTATTTTACATACCCCCTAACTACCAAATAAACTAGAGATAAACCCAAGCCCAAATCATCTTTTAACATACCTCCTGAGGAAGCGAAAGTACTATATTACCCTTATGTGCAATTTTCGGCCAAACTGCATTCAGCATTTATGGTCCTGCATTTATCATTTTCGCTGATTTATTTTTTTTTTTATTTTTTTTTTTTATAAATCTGTTTGTTAAATATATATATATATATATATATATATATATATATATATATATATATATATATATATATATATATATATATATATATATATATATATATATATATATATATATATATATATATATATTTAATTTTTAATTTTTTTTATAAATAAAAAAAAAATTAATTTTTTTTTAATTTTCAAAACAATATGTTTACAGTACTGAAAATAACTATATGTAACTATAGTACCTATAGTAATTCATAGTTATGTTCGTTTTTTCCCCATATTTTTAGTCGATCAATTGTACGTATACACACACGAATACTGACTTATACAAAATAAATTCATAAAACCCCAACAAAAATTTACAAATTTAAATATTTTTATTATAAATCACATCAGAACCAATAAAATACAAATCGAAAATACATAAATATACGCATATGTAACTACATGTAACTACATGTTACTATAGTAATGTATAGTAATGTATACAGTCTATTGAACAGATCTGATGTAACTTAAAAAAACAAAAAATTGACACCTTCAAGGAAAGGATCAATGGCCTCCATTAAGCTGCAATTGCAAAATCAAAACAAAAAGAAATTGCTTTAGTGCAAATCAACAAATTTGAATAAAAACATCAAAACACTCAAAAATCACCAAACATTAAGAGATCGAGAGATAGAGAGAGAGGTTATTGCTGGGAAATGCAAAAAAAATACAGAAATAAATCTGAAAAGATAAAAATAAACGAAATTACCATCAAAATATAGATCCCGACTTGAGGAATTCAACGGTGGATGACCCGTCAAATTTCGACGGGTGGAACACAAAATAAAGCTCCGGCAAGACCACCGTTCTCGAATGAAAAAAAATTGCAGAAACAGATCCGCGCTCGAAACTGAATGAAATCACCACCAAAAGAAAGAGCTCGACGAGAGGAATCCAACGGTAGTTAAACCATCGAATTCCGACCACCGGAGAGAGAGTTATGGCTCCGGGAAGCAATTTCGCCGGTGAGAGGTTTGTAGAGGCGGGATTTTGAATCTGGGAGAAGAAGAGAGAGACCGTGAGTGGCTAGGGTTAAAACTGATTTTAGAAGGGTGTTATAGGAACTTCAGGGTAGCCCAGGGGGTATGTCAAAATATTTTCGAAATGAGAGGGGTTTCACCTAGAGTGTAATTCACTTGTTAGTCAGTTCTATATAATTTGGAAATGAGGGGGTCTACAAAATAATCCCTTATATGATATGCCGACAATCTCACGGGAAAAAAATCAAAAAAACTCAAATACGAAGGTATTTATGAAAATCAAACAAAATTATTCTATATTTAATTTGTGAACGTAATGAAAGTTCGCTTAAGCTCGCAACATAACAAACCAAATTTAATGTTTATATAAAAAAAAAAAAATCAAATTATGTGAACCCCTTCATAAGTAATTCAAACAAAACTCTTAAAACTCATTCAATATTCGAACAAATTTGAATATGCTGGTTTGACTTGATTATATTAGGGGGGGAAAATAGACAAAATAATTTTATTATATACATTAAAAATTATAAAAACAAATATAAATTGACTTGAAGTTAAGTTGAAGTCATAAACTTCAAATGCACTTACAAGAAAATCAATTACAAATTTGGGAATCCCATGTATTGACATGATTGCACCACCTTCCAATCAACCCCCAATCAAATTTTAAAATTACAAAGAGAAAAACAAATTAATGTAATTTTATATTAATAAAATATAAATAATATAAACACCAAAGTAACACTATGTTTATTAATATTGTTCCTTCCTTTGGTGTGGGGTCACGAGTAAACGCTAATACAAACATAGTACAACAGTTACATTAACTTAATCACGTTTTTAATCAAACTTTAATTAATTAACGCCAAGCGGATGCGACGGCGATTGTGCGTCCCATCCAACCAAAGCATATGCCGCCGGATTCCTCGTTCACGGTGAATCCCGGGTTGCCACGTGTACCCGAGTTTAGCTTGGCCCGGAGCGACTCGGCAACGGGTTGACTCATTGGAACGGGCTGAAACCCGGCCATACTCATTCGGGCCCTCCACTTGCCGAAAACCTCGCATCTTTCAACGCGGTCTCTCCCCTCCCACGCAACCGAGTTGCCCATTTTCCGACCCAGCGCCTCCTCGACCCTGACCCGGTTCGGGTTCTCTCGGGGCACCGTCGCCTCCAGCGAGTCGAACAGGGCAGCGTAGTGCTCGCAGGTTTCTCTGACGCGCACCGTTAGTGGGGCGGTGTTGGCGTTAATATCTTGCTCCACCACCGTCATCACCGTCGGAGAGAGCCGCTTCACGCGGCGGAGCATCTCGTCTCTGAAATTCTCAGTTGTCACGCTCTCGTCTGGCAGCTTGTGCAGTCTGAACGCGAAGTTCACGGCGAGGGCTTCCGCCGGCTCTACTCCCAACTCCTCCCGGTTCAGACCGTCAAAATTCAAGTTCTTGATCGAAAATTTAAAACAGACGTCGATCTTGTCGGCCAACGCTTTGAGCCTTTCCCCAACGATTTTGAGCTTCTCCTCGTCGCCGGAGACGGGATCAGCGAGGGCGGTGATCTTAAGCACGGCGGCGCGTCTGTCGTCGGGCTTCTTCGCCGCCAGCGCGTGGAGAAAGTGCATGTACTGCCCCCCGTGACCGATGTCGAAATCCACCACGTGGATCCTGTGAAGCCCCTGCTCCGACGCCGCCTCGAGGATTGCCAGGTTGGCGGCCATGAAACCGAGCTTGAAACACGGCGAGACATCGTACAGCATTTGTGTCGACACGGTGTGTTCCTTGCCGTGAAGCTCCGACACCGGCAGAGGGTGCTCCGTGGGGTTCATACGCGATTTGAGGGCTGAAACCATGTACGCCGTGACCCTCTGTTCGGAGGTACCCCTCGGATTCGCCACCCGCTGGAGGCGCGTGAGGATTTCGGCTGCGGATTCCATGTTTCCGTCGGAAATAGCGGCGGCCGCATCTACGAATGATTGTCTGGTGCAGGGGATTGGAGGAGAAGCTGAAGTGGAGCAACACGAGGAGGAAGAAGAAGATGGAGAGAGAGAAATTGATTTCTGATTGCAGGGGGAAATTAAATTCTGGATCGTCTCCGACCACTCGCTGCTGGTAACGACGGAAGCCGCTTCTCCGTCGTCGTCATCCCCCAACAGCTCCTTTTCCAGTTCCTGTAGCCTATGACTCATCATCTTCTTCTCAGCCTCGTACCCGAAAACATCCGAACCCGAACCCGAACCCGAACCCGGAAGACCTATACCCGTATTAAAATTCCCGTCGTTCCCAGCCAAATTTGGTGAGAAAAAACTCGTACACAACTTGTTAACATTTCTGTTCGGCAGAGTCAACTGTTGAAGCCGATGTTGCTGAACAATCGGAATCCCGTACCGCGAGTTCATAGAATTCGAAATCGGAGAAACTTCCGGCGAAATTGAGGGAACCGATGCATGCTGGTAATTAGGCCTCAGCTTCACGTTCCTCAGATAAAACCCTAATCCTTGTTGACTTTGCTGCTGGAAATCCGCGAGTGATCTCTTTCCGATGAAATTAGGTCGCCGGATCTGGCCTGCCGGCTCCAGCATAATTCCGGGAAGCGGCGGTGGAAAAGGAAACTGCTGCTCCGCGTTGAGATTGGAATTGAAACCACTGTTCCTGCTCGTCGATCTCCCGCCGCCGGTGAAGAAATCCGGCACGCCGCCGCTGAATCCGGAAGACATTTTCCAACGGAAAAACTGATTAATTTTTTTTTCCCCGTGTATATCAATGGTTGGAGAAGGGATCTATGTTAAGCAACTGTGTTGATTCTTGTGGTTGTCGCCATTAAAAGGGGAGATTTGAGATAGAAACGCAATTGTTTTTAGAGAGAGAAACGGAAATTTTTTTAGAGAGAGAAACAGAAAAAAAAAATTAAAAAAAAAATATATGCGTGAGGTTTCCAACTGGCCGTGAACGATCTTTGTGTTGCTTTATAATCTAAAAAGGTTGAAAAATTTGTTGCTCCTACGACATAGGTGTACACGTGTCTCGTTTATGAACCGTCAGATGTGACGACTCTTTTGGTCTTTTGACGGTGGGGATTTAAAGAGATAAAACTGCCACTGGGTCTACGGGGAGGTTGAAGCAACATTCACGCGCCCGCGGTTGTCACGTGTTTGTTACACGCGGCTCCGGGAGTTTGTGCTTTGTTGTGTGCCAAGTGGGAAAAGTGCACACCAACAATTATTTCTATATTCAACTAATGTTGTACAAGCCCCCATGAGTGTAGCTCAACTAGTTCCGGAGGTGGTAAGTTGGTGCAAGGTCCTAGGATCGAATCCTGGCAGCCGCAGTGTGGGAATTTCAACTCCAATGAGATTGGTTCCTTGTGGGCACCAGGTCCGGGTCCGCTACCTTAACGGGCCGTTGAGTTACCATGATTTACATTCCTCCATCAATCCTTGTCGGGGCCCTGGGGGCGAGGGATTTCGCCTTTTGGTGCAACTAATGTTGTACAAAATAAATTATTTATTTGTTTATACTTTTTCTGTTCCATAATATCTGTGTCTTTTGAGAATAATTTTGTTCCATATTATATGTCACTTTACAATTCCAATGCAACATTAATTGCTTAATTTAATTTTACCCTTATTAACTCTATAACACTCTTCCTGCATTAATTAATAAACAAGGGTATTTTGGTCCATCAATATATATTTTCCTAAAATCAAGACATATTTATTGAGATTCTTAAGATTTGTGCCAAGGTGAAAAACGACACTTATTTAGAAACGGAAGGAGTATTTATTATCGGTTTGGATATTTTTTATTACATATTATTATTATATGTCACTGTAGAATTCTAATTAATTTTTTTTATACGTATATTCTCTTATTTTTTGTTACTATATGACTCTTAATAAAATTCAACAATAATAAATGAGTTTCTTAATAGGGAGGGATTAGATGAATTCAACATAGCACAAATTTCAACAAGAAATAAATAACATTTTAGTATTTATAGAATATTCATAATTAATCATTAATACACCTTATTAAGGGTTATTCCATATGTGCGGTTCCATATATGATATATTTTTGAAATTGAAAAAATATCGATTTGGTAGTCGTTATATGTCGATTTTATAGTTCGACACAATTCGATCAATTTCACGAACATGTAAGCTTCCTTAATTTTCAAATCGAGTTAAGTTAGTTTGAAACGATTTAATTTATTTCAAAAAAAAATGATCGAGAAAAAGAAGTGGCCAGTATAAAGCTTAGAACTTCCAAAGCGTAATGACACTGGTTACATGTGGACCAATAGAAACGAGAGCTTAACTATTTTCAAAGCCATTCTTGTCAATCGTGGAGCAAATGTCGTTTCAATTTTAAATTTTAATAATATTCTTTCATCTTCAAACGTGATTCTGATCATTTTCGAGTTTGAAGTTAGCAAGACTGAAAATACAAAATTTGTAGTTATTTAAGCTTTATAATTCAACTTTAATCACAAAAATTGGATGTCATGAGATAAATATATGCATGTATTAAAGAGCACTGTTCACAACTTTTGAAATTTTATGTATCTAAAATTCAAAATGTAAGTCATTCATGCATAACTTTATCACCCGATATCCAATCTAACTGACTTAATTTGAATTGGAAAGCTAATTCAAGGACCATAGAACCATGTTTTTTAATTTTATCAAAATCACGGTTGAAATTAAAACAACAACAGTAGAATCGAAATGACAATTAACATTTCAGTTCTTTGAATTTATTATACTTCAATTTACACTTCTCATATTTTACAATTGGATCATACTCAATTATGTCTATTAGGAATCAATTCATCTTTTTCCTTTTCTTTTACCTTTGGAAAAATATTAAATATGAAGCAAATAAAGAGAATGGACCTCTTCCTTATAATATATATGCTTCTTCTTCAAATGGTACATGACAAATTTAATTATAGCATGCTTAACAATTAAGCATTTACCTTATTTATACAACATTTTATATTTTCCTTTCTAATTTTAGTGTATTTAATCTAATTTTGTCGAAGCCTCATAAATGCTGCACTGAGTGAAATATATCGTAAGTTTGTATTGTTGGTCTGCATACAATCACACACATCATATATAGATACGTAAACAGTCTACAAAATTGTATTTTTTTAAGTAATGAATAAACTATTATAATCATAATATTTCTCTAATTAAAACTCAATAACCAAAAACAAATAAATAATTATTATATTTTCCAAAGTGGTTGTTTTGAATTTAATTCAGAATTATTGTTTTATCTCTCACCAACTCATGAATAGTTTGGCAGAATTTAATTTGCAATTGCAAAAGGTGCCCAGCAATAAATAATCATAACACCCAATATTGTGACCCCAATATTCCAATATCTACCACTATTATTTCCCACTTAATTAGTTAATTATTATATTCTACGTACAATAAATAATTGAATAACCAATTATATATTCGTTTCAATAATAAATTGATTCCTGATATATTTCCAAAATCATTTTCATTATCTTGTCCATGGTGTAAACTAATCAATTATATATACTTATTTGTTACAATTTTAAATAATACTTTATTTCATTTTTTATGGGTCAATTCGGTAATGTTGGGTCAAACCCATGATACCGGGCATATTAAATAGTATAAGGATAAAACGTGCGGGCCGTAAGAAACTTATTGAGCTCACCGACCTAATACGTGTTAAAGACAAGACCTCTTTAAAAGCTCGCCCGAAAAAAGCTCGGTAAAACGATGCCCGTGGGATAAGAGGGTAGCGAGCGCCAGCTCTCATCCGAACGTGCAAGAGACGATGAAATGTATAGATAGAGAGCTAAATGAGAGTCGTTGGAAAAAAAAAATCGAATATATTCTTCCGAAATAAATAGGAAAAACATGTAAATTAGGATCAGTAATTGAGCAATCAAAGTAATCGGACGAATAAAGAGAATCTAAATTAGGAAATGTCTAATTACAAATTCTCTATATAAACGAATATGTGAAACCCTATTGGGGTACGATTTAACATCAGTAATACACTCATTTTTCCAAAGTCTCTCTTTATCTCTTGTTTTTATCTTTTTTTGGTCGATTAGTTCATCTTCACCGACTAAATACCGTAGGGCCGTAGGCGGATGTACACTCGAACGAACAAAGAAATTTCATTTAAAAGGAGGTATTGGATGCAAATATTGCACCATCAATATTTTATTATTACATCAAGTGCAAAGTATACAAGATTAAAGGTAACAAATAGTATTTTGATAACCAAAATTGTCACAACAACTAACTTTTTGGTGCCACTATATAGTCAACAATGAAAACTTAAAAGTAGTACTTGTTCTTATCACTACTAAACCATCATTATAAACCATTCAAAATTATTCTTATGTAAAAAAACATTTTAACAGTGATAAAATATAAATTATTATCAGTAAATACATATTATTGTATCTGATTTTTTTATTTGATATTAAATTTTTTTTTTTCGTAATATTATTGTTATTTTCCTTCAATTTGGTATGTCCGTATGCATATTATTTATAACATATTTCTACCAGTCAATAGTCAGCATGACACACGTATTGAAATGTGTGTCTGTGTGTATAATTAAGCAAATTGAAAAGGTTAGCAGAATTTAAGAAATGAATAAAGCAAAAGCAGATAAAATTTAAGGTAAATTACAACCACCTCCCAAAGGTAAAGTGTAATTACAGACAAATCCTTTCTTTTTTAGAAATTGCACCTAACCCCTACAGTTTGTAAATTTCTTACATCCACCTTGTTACAAAAGGGTTTTAATGTAAGAAATCTACAAATTTTAGGGGAGAATGTAATTATGGAAAAATAAGGGATTTTTTCGTACATCAACCATACATCATGAAAGGAACAATCAAATAGACATAAGAAGATACTGAATAAACAATAGTTGGGTCAGTTTCTTTGAAGTTTAACTCGATCTTTTGCTATATATTTTTAACAAAATTATTCAAATAATTCCAAATAATATGAAATTTAGTTAAATTGAAATAATATAAATCATTGTAATTTTCATTTGATATTGACTCATTCCCAAATACTTATTTAATTTTAGCAAATTAAAAAAAAATAAGTTAAGGGGGAAAGTACTTCTATAATTGTTGATTTGTAATTTGGTCCCCCCCCCCAATCAATTTATACCACTGTGCCACCAGATAAGAACTTCTATTCTTATGTGTCTCATTATCTATTTAAATTGTATTCAATTTTTAATGAATGGGACTGAAAATGATATTAGCATCTTATATATACCCAAAACTGTAAATAAAAAAAAAATTACTTTAAATCTTATATAGTTCCAATAAATCTAATGTCTTCTTGTTTACAATTCTAAGAATTTAAATATGGAAGTATTGTTAAATTAAGTACTTATTGTTATGTTAAAAAATAATGATTTGTTGAATTGTTGCAATTTTAAATTGTACAACATTTCAAAACATCATGTTCATGTGGCGAGTCAGCTACTATAATAATTATTAGACATTTAGACTGTGTTTGGTTAAGTTTATAAGTTATTAAAAAGAGTTTATAAGACATTTAAGTGTTTATAAGCTCTTTTAAAATGTTTGGTAAACTTTTTAAATAAGATCATAAAAATTCAAAAACATGTTGTTGAAGAACTTCTAAGATATTTTTAAAATTATTAATTCTAAAAATAAGAAGTAACGGCTTATCAGCTTTTAAAATAACTTATCGGATGTCGTAATACCTGTTATTATACAATTTTATAAAGAGTGTTACCCAATATAAGGATGGTGTAATTATAAATTCCAAACATAAAATAAAATAATTGCATATTACATTATCATGACATATAACTATATTCAATTCAATTAGTCTTAAAACTCTTATTAATCTCTAACCATATTTTCAAATTAAACAAGAACTTGTATATATTCTTGTGCCTAATTGTGGTTACACAGACCAAACGTATGGTTTTGTGGCCACAAACAAAATCCCAAATCCTAACCTCCACAATATTATTTAATCACTGTCATTACCTAATGCAAATAACTCCATGCCTTTTTTTTCTTCTGTACCTAATTAGGTGGGGATTAGTGAAGTTAATCTAACTCTAAAAGTTCAATTAATCAAGTGGGTTTAATGCATAAATAGGATGTGTTCGAGTGTTTGAGACTACCGGCTGATAAGTTGTTTTAAGAGCCGCTGAATTGTTACATTACCGATTCGTGATCAACTCGTGTATGTAGGTGCTTATTATTTATAAACTTCTAGGGCTAATTGCAACCACCCCTGAAGGTATGGTCAAATTACGAAAAAATCATTTTTGTTTGGGTAACTACAACCACCCCTTTTGGTAAATATTTTTACATAAAATTTATGTAATTCGGTTATTTACTGAACGAAAACGTATATTTAATTTGGTAAACAATATGAAATGTTGGTCTGCTGAAATTTCGGTTTAGTTTTACCACATCAACATCACAAAATTTACCTCATCTGTAGGGGTTTCACGTAAGCTAATGCGTAGTTGAGATGGATTTTCCAATTTTACCATAACTAAGGGGTGGCCGTAATTTGCCCAAACTTCTATTTATATTTATCTATTATATTCATTTGATTGGATTTCTTAACAAGTTTTAATTTTACAAATTATTTTTCATAATAATAATATCATTATTTCACTTGCCTGTCAAATTAACAAATAGATAAAAATTAAAACTACATATTAAAGTGTAACTAAGTTCTACAACAAATACATTATTATTTTCAAACAATTACAGTTTGTCAATTCTTCAATTAGTGCATAATATTTAATCTAATATTTAATTAAAAACAGAAAAACAAATCAATAACACATCAAAAAGACAGTAATCACCAGTGATTTCGATAAATACTATGGTTCTTCAACAAAAATCAAAACTGTGAAAAAAGATGGACACTAATGCACATAATAAAAATATCTCAATAACAAGTTTTCATTGCAACCCAAATCCTAGTTAATTAAAACACAACAAAATAAAAAACTAAAATCAGAAATTCTAAGCTTAGGCCTTCAGTTTCTTAGGCATGCGATAACCACCAACAACACAGGCGTGGTCTCGTTCGAAAGGCTCAAGGGTAACCTGTTCGACCGGTTTGAACTGATCGACCTGCAACTTTTTCACTTCCGCTGCAAACACTGCCTCAGCTGGTACAGTCGAATCGATACAGTTTGCCTGTATAAGAAAATGCAAAAAAAATATTAATAATTTTGTTTTTCATTTCAAAGTGTAAGGGTGTAATTAATCAGAAATCGAACCTTGATAGATATCACAAAGTGGCCGCCGGCTTTCAAGAAGTATGATGCATTAAGGGCCAAAATTCTTGCCTGTAAGAAACATATATACATAAAATAAAATCACAAATGCAATTCATTAGACATGTATAACATTTCGATTTTATAATAACACTTAGCATCTAAGATTGCCACAACCTATAAAATATGCATTGCTGGCATCTAAAATTGCCACACCCTATAAAATATGCATTACTACTGCTAGGTAATTGAAGTGAGAATAATATTACATACCTATGGTAATTGTACTTGTAAAAGATTGTTACTCTTTTAACAAGTATGTTTAAATTATTTGAACAAGTAAATCAATGCAGACAGATTGAAAGCATGCAACAAAAATAAACTAGCTATCATAACATATTCAAAATCAAATGCAATGGAGTTGGTATACATTTTAAACATCATATATATACACAGAGACATGTAAGCATGTATCAAAATCAACGAAAAATAAACGAGCAACATTCAAATTAAATTTGAAAATGCCTCAGTGACTCGGTTTGTGCATCACTCAAATATGTCTTGAAGGGGAATCCGAGTAGGTCATCATGAGCTTGCTCTCACACACACACACGAAAATAATATATTATAATATATACTTCAAAAAACCAAATAATCAATCAACAAAAGAAATCAAAAAATTTAAAATTGCATCAGTGACTCGGTTTGTGCATCACTCAATAGATGTCTTGAAGGGGAATCCGAGTAAATCATCATATGCTTCTTCATAGAGAAAGGTAAAAGAATATCTAAAATTTAAAATATATTAAATATATAAAATATAAAATATAAAATGACACTCCTTTAAAGATTACTTTTTTAAATTGAAAAACACACACACAAATATATATACATACACTATAGACAAGAACGTATACAAAATCAATAAAACAATATTACTATGAGAACTACAAAACATAAGAACAGTAGTAAAAGGTTATACAACACAGTGAAATAAATAGAATTGTAATAAAAAATAAAAAGAAACCAGATTTAATGTTGTAAACTGAAATCAAACCTGATCTGGCTGAGCAACATCAGAGAAAATGACATCCACCATACCAACAAGCATTCTGTACTTAGCAGGATGTCTTGCATCCTCAATAATGGGGATAACATTGGTTCTCTTCTTAGCCATGTTCACCAAATCCCTACCACTTCTGTGAGAAAATTCAACTGCATACACAACTCCTTCCTGCAAATATCATTAAATAAAATTAACACATTATTAAATCATTATTATTAAAACATAAAAAATAATACACCTACAGAAGAATAGAACTAAATATTACTTACAGGTCCAACAAGATCAGATACATGAGAAACAGTTGTTCCTGAAGCAGCACCAAGATAAAGTACTTTTGCACCAGGTTTCTACATAATAATCAAATTAGAAATTCAATTAATTACCATTTCTAATTACAGTTAATTATTAATTAAATTGAAAATGTGGGAGATTGGTGAACTCACAATCCAGATATTATCAACTCCACCGAGAATTGCAGCAGCCAACTTAGAACGGAAGGGATTCCATACTCTGTACTCAACTTTGGTTCCATCTTCGTTCTGTTAAATAATCAACACGAAAAAATTTTCATTAAAATCAATAATTAATTATTTAAAATTAATACATATATATAACGGATTTTAAAAATCGAAGGTACAAACCTGAACGGAAACCCTCTTCTCGTTGTAAACGGCTTCACCGGGAACCATGTTCTTCGTGCAGAGAGCATCCTCTTTCCCCTTGGCGATGAAAACGCCGTCGTGTCTGTGCGGCTCCACCACAACCTTATTCCCTCCCTTCATTCCTGCTCCTCTACCTCCCCGGCCTCCACGGCCTCCTCCACGTGGCCCTCCTCTGCCTCTCTTCATGTCAAACCCTCGGCCGCCGCCGCTGCCCCCCCTTCCGCTGCCGAATCCTCTTCCTCCGCTTCTCCCTCCGCTTCTTCCTCCGCCATCTCCCCTTCCTCCTCTACTATATCCACCGCCGCCACGACCTACAGAAAAAAATGGGTATCACATCAGATAATTGCTATTAAAAAAAAATATTAAATCGTGAAGGAGAAGGTGAGAAAAACTATTCTACCTCTGGTTGGAGTTGTTGCGACCATGGCTGCTGAGTGAATTTGTGAGAAGGATTGAATTAGTGTGCTGCTCTGGTTAGGGTTTCTCTGCTCTGAGAGGCAGACTGTGAATGGGGGACGTTTTATAGAAGGGGGGTTGTGCGATTAGGGTTTTAGGGTTTTCGGGAGTTGCATATTTGCACCTCCACCCCTATACTTAATTATATTTAAAGTTCGGGGCACCAACAACTTTAAAATATCAAAAATGCACCCACATCCCTAATTAAGGATTACCATACCAAATTTCCGGTAAATACAGTTAAACCTCTGTAAATTAATATTGTTGGGACCATCAAAATTTCATTAATTTAGCGAAATATTAACTTATCGATAAATTAATAATTATTAATTTATACAGTAATTAATAAATTATTAATTTATGAAATTACTTTTATTATTATTTTCAATAAATACATTTTTTTAATTTTTTTTTCCGTGTATATTATTCATTGTACCATTAGTTCAATGCATTATAGAGCCCGTTTCACGAACGGAAGCTCTGAAAGCAGCAATGGTATAGAATGATTTTATGTTGAGTTATGACAAAACTATACCGAAAGTTCTAACCATGTTAAGAAAAGTGAGGGACAAGATTAATGGTAATTTGAACTTCAACAAGAAACAAGCAACAATTAAATTATATTGTATTAAGCTTTCATAGATCTATAAAATATGTACTATATCATGTAATTTAAGAATTATTTTTATGCATTATTAATTTATATATTATATGGGGCTTCTTAAATTTTTCGAATGTGTATTATCTTATAAATTTAGCGAATTATTAATTTAGCACGTTGTCCCCGAGTCGGGACCGGGAAAATTTATTATTTAAGCGAGGTTATTAATTTATCGGGTATTAATTTATCGAGGTTCTACTGTATATTGCTTTCTTTTATTTTTAGTTAGACCGATAACTACGCATCTGCACTAGATAAGCTCTCCCTCTTGTAAAATAGCTCGCAAGCATGTAAACCAATATTAGGTTAACCATATATGAAGAGTTCGACTTAGAAAACGTTGGCGATGTGATGTGAATTCAGGTCTATTAGGTCTACTAATTAATTTACATAAGCCTATTAGTTTTCATATTTATTATTTGGGATGTTGATTTGAGATAAAATTATATTTTTCAATTTTCTTTTCTTAATAATTGGTGTTTAAAAAAATTAACTTTATAATATTGCAGCACCATACACGCACTCAAATAAATTTGAACGCCCATTTATTTGGAACAATAAACTTAGGGACTTGCTTTTTACGGTTTGAAAATTGCTTTTTACGGTTTGAAAATTGCTATTTACGGTTCATAACAAAAAACCCCTCTCTCTCTAGAAAATAATCTCTCAAAAGCTTTAGAAGGGAATTTGCTTAAAAATCATTCTTATTGGTGTGATATACAAACACAAATGAGCTCATCGGATGAAGATCGGGATACCCGACATAACGAGGTAAAAAATCCGTCTATTCGATCGAACAAACTGGGCAAAACGCGTAAAAACCCAACTTGGGCGCCCATTCATTCAGTGCACGCCCAATTTGGGCGTGCAGTTGGCTGCTCCACGCCTATTTCGGGCGCCCAGCAGCCAACTGCACGCCCAACTTAGGCGTGCGCTGCATGAATGGGCGCCCGAGTTGGGCGTCCAGTTCAAAATATATATATTTTTTTAATCATTTTTTTTACGTTTTTTTCAGGATAATACGTCTACAATTGAAGTTGATCATACCGATTATTTTACAACAACTCAATTGTTTGGCTCGATGGATGAGGTAGTGGCTTGGGCGAGGTCTGTTGCAAGAGGTCTTTTTGTAAAGTTAGTTAAAAAAAAGTGGCCCCCAAAATAAAAAAAAATGTGTCTGACTTGTGACCTGTTTGGGGAGAAACGAGAAACACCATCAACTAACCCAGAGGTGCCCCCGAGAAGGACTTGTAGCAAAAAAATAAACTGTGGTTTTCAAATTGTCGGAGAGCGGCGGTTGAACGATAGATGGGGGGCTCATAATAATATATGGGAAGTATAGTCATTTTTCGATATAAATGTATGGGCATGGGATGAGTGCATTGAATGAAGCGTAGGTGAAGATTATTAGAGATCTGTCACAAAGTCATGTGCCGCCCAAAAAGATTTTGGCTAACTTGAGACAAAATGGCTTGGGTCTCGATGCTTATTCGAAACAAGTATATAATGAAAAGGCAAATTTGAGAAGACAAGCTAGGGGTGACCGTACAGTGATGTAACATTTGATTGGGTTGCTTGAGGAGCATAACTATTACAAGTGGTTCCGTATTGATGAAACAACACATGAAGTTATTGATTTGATGTGGGCTCGCCCTCTATCTGTCGAATTGTTAAGTAAGTTTTCGTACGTTATACTACTTGACAGTACTTACAAAACCAATAAGTACAAATTGCCTTTGTTGGAGATTGTTGGTGTTACTCATGTCGAAAAAAAATATACTGTTGGAGTGGCATTTTTGCACCATGAAAATGAAGACCATTATACATGGGTGTTGCAAAGGCTGAAGAGACACCCCACAAACTCTACCTAGTGCAATCGTAATTGATCAAGAGTTAGGGCTCTTAAAGGCGATAGATAATGTATTTCCCGGTGGCTCATCTCTTATGTCTTTGGCACATTAACATGAATGGGGGCATCGTGCTACAAGATGTTTAGGCAATAGTAGGCGTCGAGGGGTTGATTTTATACTTGGTCCGTGGCGAACTTTGGTAACATCAGTATGTGAAGAAGATTTCGACAGGAATTGCAGAGCATTGATGGACGAGTACGCGGATTATCCACAGTTGATTGAGTACCTCCAAGATACTTGGCTGATATATAAAGAGAAATTTGTAAAAGCATGGACGAAACTAGTTTTTCATCTGGGCAATACACCGACAAACAAGTATTTATTTATAAGTGGTTAAATACATATACTTAACTTACTGTCATGTTGTTTACTGAAACGTAACCTACTTTAATCATATTAGGGTGGAGAGCAACCATAGATCATTGAAGAGATGGTTGGATGCGTCCACAGGTGGCTTTGACACATTTTGGGCACAATATCACACACATATCAAAGATCAACTTAACGAGATTCTGGCCGAATTTGCGAAGTCAAAGAGGATTCTGGCCTAAACAATTAATGTGCCGTATTTAAAATATTGTCTGGTGGAATTGTAACACATTCCGCTCTGAAAATGTTGGACGATGAGAAGGATGAAGATATAGACAGTTGCGTCTGTTATATGAGGAAATATCTTGGCCTCCCATGCAAACACGAAATTGACGCAAAGGTGAATGCACGACGTGGTTTGTTTTATCAGTTAACTGTATTATTTATCTTGCCGATGCTAAGCTCTTCTAATTCAGAGTTTATGATTTTGGGCAACCGTTCAAAATATAAATTGCTTAATTTTTTTTAAAGTGAGAAAGCCCAATAAATGTTGGAAAGGCCAACCCATATAAATCAGCCTACCAAACTTGAAGCTAAGAAATATTATTTCTTATTCACTAAGAAATAAATTGTCTCTTCCCATTTATTATCCACGTCGGAAAATCTATCCACTATTTATTACTCGATTATCCCATTTTCCATCTCTATTCACTATTCACTAATTTACCCTTGTCCTTAAAAAAATATATATTATATATACAATAGTTCTAGTTGAAAAAAGAAAAATATAATTTGTTGATAAATTTGACTTAAAACCAAAAAAAAAAAAAAAAAAAAAAAAGTTTTATGGAGGGTGAATAAGTCTTTTCGCAATAAATAATTAATTACAATCTTTCCCTAGATTTGTCAAAATTTAATGGCAAACGCTTGAAATTAGAGCTATAAATACCCACAATTTCAACGTAATTTCATTTCAATTCATTTTTTCTTCAACTTTTGCTGTAAAAATGGCGTCGCGTTACGAGGTTGAAGTCACCATCGCCTCCGCCAAGGACCTGAAGAACGTCAACTGGCGCAGCAACGGCAAACTCAAGCCCTACGCCGTCGTCTGGATCGACCAGAACAGGAAGTGCTCCACACGCGCCGACGAGGGTGGTGACGGCGACGGCGGCGTTTCACCATCCTGGGACGAAAAGCTGCTCCTCCCCTTCAATTCCCCGATCGACGATTCCACCCTCTACATCGACATCGTCCATTCCGCCGCCGCCGCTGACGACTGCACCAAGCCGATCGTCGGCTCCGCCAAGCTCAGCCTCCGCGACGTCGTCGACGACGTCGGCATGGGGAGCACCGCCGATCGGAAGCTGGACCTCAAGCGCCCCTCCGGCCGGCCTCAAGGCAAGCTCGTCGTCAGACTCAGCGTCCGCGAGCCGCGCTACCGTGCGCCGGAACCCTACTACGCTGCGCCTTACGGCGTGCCGCCGGGATCCTACGCGCCAGCACCGTACGGGGCTCCCTACGGCGCGGCTCCTTCGCCGTATGGCGCGGCGCCAGCATACGCGGCTCCGCCGTTGGGTTACCCTGCTTACGGTGGTGCGCCGCCATCCTACGGGCAGCCGGCTCATGAACAGAGCGGTCAGTATGGGCAGCAGCAGGGGTTAGGGTATGCTGCTCCGGCGGAGGAGAAGAAGAAGAGTAAGTTTGGTGGAATGGGGGCGGGATTGGCTGTGGGTGCGGTTGCAGGGGCGTTAGGTGGACTCGCGCTGGCGGAGGGTTTTGATGCGATGAAGAACAAGGTTGCTGATGACGTGGCGGATGATTTGGGTTATGATGGGGATGATTATTAGGGAATCGGAAGTTTAATAATATTAGGAATATATGATTTATTCCCTTCTCTATTTACTAAAAAAATAGTTTTTTTTTTTTGTCTTTCAATATAATGTCTGTTCCTGGAAATTTAAAAAATGAGAAAAATTGTTAAACAAATGTATTTCGTAATGCAATACATTTAATATATTTATTTTATGAGTAATGGTAGATGACTTTTTAAGTTTAATATTTTTACCTCCTATCTCGTTTGCGTTGGCTTAAGTTCATAAAGCATCGGTCCTCATTATTATAGGCTCAAACTCATATATCATAGAACCTCATTAGTATAGGTTCAAGTTTGGCTCGTGTATTTTTTAGAGTTTCGGGTTTATATCAAACTTATATTGAGCAATATTATAAATTACATACTTTATAACTTTGCAGTCAAATGTATTAAAGAAAAAAACAAAAACAAAAAAACTTCGCAACCCAAGTGCAAAACCTAGAATATTCATGAAGAGCAAAATAAAATAAAAATTATAGTCGTAAATTAAGATGAAAACTATAGCTTGTTTCTTGAAATAAATGAAGTTTAATATTGTAATGTTTAATCCCTAAGTAACTACAATTAAACCTCTATAAATAAATATAATCGGGACTAGAAAAATTCTATTAATTTAACGAACAATTAAATTACTGAGTTAATAATTTAACATATTTTCACTCAGTTGGGACCGAGAAAAATTATTATTTAATTGAAGTTATTAATTTATGAAGATTCTACTGTATATGATAAAACAATACATCATATTTCAAAATAAAAGAAGTAAAAGAAATTTAATATATATATATATATATATATATATATATATATATATATATATATATATATATATATATATATATATATATATATATCTCATTATTGAAAACATTTTGTATTTTCAAATGTCGATGATAATTTCAACAATTGGGTTGAATGAGTATTTTCACTTTATTCCTACTTAATTCCTTCTTTTTTCTTTTACGTTTCTTTCCGCAGAATAAAATGATCTATTACAGGTGTAACTTTTATATTGTGCCATATATCATTAAAATAATAAATATATTATATATTTATTTGTTAACCTAATCGAACGGGCGTTATATTCGGGTCGAACCATAGTAGGCTCAAACTCGTCTCATAAATTAATCAAGATAAAATAGCTCAAACTCTACCGCGCTCACTAAAAATCAAGTTCGACTCAAATATAATCGGGCAGGGCCGGCTCACTTGCCGGTCGTAATTATAACCGTTTTACAAAGACTTTTGTAAATTTCATAAATAATGATTCAACTATCATTTTCTTCATGCCAATGTCGTTTTGTGTTGCATCTGTAACTACGTAATTATAATTTTTGATTATTTTTTGACAGACAAGCTGAATAAATTTTGATGTCATTGATGCAGCCAACATTAATCAACATCCCCTGCAACTCTCTAGCAAAATAGACGAATACTCGGACTCGTTATCTACGTTTCAAAAAACAAAATCATTCTCCGATTTTCTTTCGTAGATCAGTTCAGTTCTTTGGTGCTGGGGCGGGAGGCGATACTGCAGCAGCTCCTTCTTGAAAAGCATTACTTTCCGAATTCTCAGATATATTCATCACTCGTGAAGATTCTTCAGATGTATCTAACACCATTAGCAACTTAATATATGAGAGATCTAGAGAGAGAGAGTTTTAGAGAGAGATTGTGTTAACTGTAATGTTAGTTGTAATTACTGACCCTGAGACGGAGTCTGTAGTTGAGATTGCTCGTTCTGCAAACGGACAAAAGCTCCTTTGAGTTGCTCTTCGGTCACCTTCAAGTATTCGTCTGCAGTATATGCTCCGCTTAATTCAGTGTCCGACGGAGACGGAGTTTCCTCTGCATTTTTTTTTTCACAAATACAAACTCAATACAACATTACGATTTACGATCTATACATTTTTTATAAATTAATTTTGATCGAAAACATTAATTTCACACTTCCGAAATCATCAAGTAAAAATATCTCACCATATTCTACCGGCAGTTTTGGTTCGACGTTTGTACTAGATTCATCTGTCGTGATGAAATCCTGCGGTGTAGGCCTAGGTGTGTTGGACATGTAACTTGTTGGCGCGGGATTTTTTATATCATCGAGGCCAATTTCTCGCTCGAGGGTGCTCTTAAATTCCCTCGAAACTTCCTGTAATTAAACAAATATTCAATATGTGGAGAACTTAAGAAGAAACGCGAGTTCTTGATTTCTGAAGTTGTTGTAATAATAGGAAAAAGCACCGAGACCTGCCTGAAGTTCTCTTATCGTAGGTTGGAATCCACGCAGCGTTTGACCCAAATTACGAGCAACCTGTCATTTTAAATAAACCAAACTTCCAATTTCATATCTTGATTAGCAACAAAATTAATAATCTTTTGCTTGAGATATTATTGCATTCATTTTTCTAACATGATCAACACTGAAGTTTTATAAGTTCCACTCAGTGAAGCACATATATTAAGGGAATTATTTTTGCTCAAAATGGAAAATGAGGATAATTTAAATATTTTGCACCACTTCTTTTTTATCAATAGTAAATAGAAACCAATCGAATACTGTTTATGAGACAAACATGAACTAATCACTAGGGGTAATAAACGAGCTGAGCTGGCTCATGAACTCGACGAGCCGACTCGACAAATGCTCGAACTCAAGCCGATTTTAGTTGTTCGACAGCTCGCGAGCTGGCTCAAGAGCTTCGCATTGATTTTTTTTTTTTTTTTTGTATATATTATAAAATAAAATAATAACTATTATTATTATTATCATTATTTAATTATTATTATAATTATAAAAAAATAGATTTATTTTAGGGTAAATTACAAACACCCCCCTGAGGTATGGTCAAATTACAAAAACACCCCTCTTGTTTGGATAATTACAACCACCCCCTCAACTCTTCAAATTTAGTGAAATCTTCGAGATTATATGGAATATTATCACTTTTGTACCCATTTTATCTCATTCAAACTCTACATTATGAAGCAAGATGATCATAATATGTGATTTTTAGCTTGCATATATCAGTTTTTTGTGCATCGGAAACTGTATTTTTACACAAAACGAGTACAAACTAAAGAAAATTTCACGGAATCTAGATGATTATGTTGAATTTGGCACCATAAGGGTGGAGGTGTAAGAAAAAATCATAGTTGAGGGGGTAGATGTAATTATCCAACAAGAGGGGGGTTTTTGTAATTTGACCATACCTCAGGGGGGTATTTGTAATTTACCCTTTATTTTATTAATGAGCTAATTATTTTTAAAGCTCAAGTTCACCGAAGCTCATGCGAGTTCGTGAAAATCTCAACTCGTCGAGCTCGAGATCGAGCCCCTAATAATCACTATCATTATTACAATTTACAAGACAGCATCTCACCACCAACTCTTTTTTGTTATAAAAGAATCTTCAAGAAAAGCAATTAAACTAATAAGGGCTCGTTTGGTTTCCAAATTCCAAAACAAGAATAAGCCTAAACACTTAAAAAAAAAAAAAAAACTAACCTCGGCAAGACCTTTGGGTCCAAAAACCAACAAAGCCACAACACCTACAACAAGAGCTTCAGGAGCTCCAACCCCAAATAGAGAAGCATTAATTCCTCCTTTGCCTTTCCTTTTTCTTCCCTTCTTCTCTGCACAACACAAACCCTCAATTTATACAAATTCTTTACCATTAAAAAAATAATAAAAAATCCCAATTTCGGCCAAACACGTCCTATGTGTACAGACTCACGTAATTGGGGGAACGATGTTTACCCATTTTTACTGAATAGTGCGAGATTGAGATGCCCATTTGCTTGAGTCCGTTCCATTGAGATAAGAGAGCAAAACCTAATTGAGGAACGCTTTTCGCAGCATGATTAAAGATTGAATTTTTAGGGACGGAAGCAAAGAGAGAGGGTTGTCTCGTTCGTGTGTATGGTGATGATGAAGAAGGGTGCAGTAGAGATGGTGCCGGTGTGAAAATAGCAAACGACATCGTCTTGGTCATCTGGAAATGGCGAAACTGATGATGAGCTTGATTTTGGAATTTTTTCCAGGCATGGAGAAGAAAATGTGTGGATGCTGTTTGGTTGATAGCGCCAATGTGAATATACTGTTGGTATTTTATTTCTTTATTTTTGTTTTTTATTAAATTTATAAATTTATATAAATTTTAAATAATAATTTTATGATTTTTTTTTTTATTTAAATTTCTAAATGATTGGTAAAGTGTTTGGGCTTTAACCCAATACTCTGGTGAGGGAAAAATTGTATAAAATAGGGCTTCATTTGATGGATCCTTGGATAAAAAAAGTAATGAGGTTTAATTATTGGGCCGGTAAGTCCAAAAAATCGGAATGTAATATGCATTCCAGTTCCGTACCAAAAGGATTTGGAAAATAGAAAAATATTTGGATCGGGATGGATGGAATTCGAAATGTTGTTCCTATTTTCACCAATAAATTTATGTGTTAAATTTGACGGTAATAATTTATTCAGTATAGACTTCACCGGGTTGATCCAGAGAAGAAGATGGCGCAATGGGCGAAGCCCACTTACTGGGATGTCTAGCCCATTAAGGCCCGCCACGAGGCGCGGCCCAAAAGGACAGCCCACGCGAAGGGCCTCTCCTCGTCACAATGACCCTGCGAGTAAGGCATTCTGTCGAGAGCTAAATGGATATGCGGCGCTCGGAAAGGTGCCGTGACCACTTTGTTCGGCAAATTAATGGCTCTGACACGTAGAGATGGACGCATCGATGGCCACGACAAGTGTGTCCCTCACATACGTCGACACACTAAAATGCGTTGACACCATTATTTAATGGTTGAATGACCGTCGACAATCAGAAAATGGAGGGAAAACCTATGAAAGCTTACGGAAATGTTACTTAGTATAGGGGCACACGAGTGGTTGCAGCTGATTAGCTGAGAATGATTACACGAACTGCCTAGAAACGGCGACATGTTACACTCGCCCCAGTGTTCAGGAGTTCATGGGTCCGGAGAAGATAAAATTGTTATAAATGGGAGCATACTCCCACCCATGGAATGTAAGTTTTTCTCATACTACCTACAAAAACTAGTCCATTTATTCCCAAAATATATATTTATGATGCTAGAAATAGATTATCTTAAGTAGTTGAGATAGAGGGAGTTGGGAGAGCAAAGTGAATCATTGCTCACGTGCTAGATGACTCTGAGATACTTGCGAATAGAGAGCATCTGAACTAGATACGGGGTTGATCCGGCAGAAACCCCTCCGACGCTCAAGTCAGACGTGCGGGTTGTAGAAATAGTTGAGAAAATACAAATTATAGTATTATTCAGATAATATGGAGTATCTTTAATAAATGAAGTAAATCGTTATTTATACCATATCGATTGAGCTGAGGTTAATTTGTTGGGCCCAAACCTTATTTGAAGGTGATTGGACTTTCGTAATAGTGTTCTTCTAAATTGGGTTCGTGCTACAATAGTTAAAGAAATTATAGGCTTATTGAGTTGACCCAATTAAACATATCATATATGAATCCATCCACCTCCGAAAATGCATCGATCCCTATTGACTTGACCATCATAATGCTTACATCCGGCATGCGCGTGGATCACGAGGTCTAGGATACATAGGAGACGAGCGAAGACTACCTAAAATCAAGTCTACTTGATAATTTTTTCATTTGTATTCATCTATCTTAAATGGAATTTAAAAGAACAAAATAATTAAGCATAAAGAGTGAAGATTAATAATTCGGTAGTGGGAATTAATGTCTAATTGCCATTGAAAAAATACTAAAATAGTAGTATCAATCTTTATAACGTGGAGGCCCAAACCCATGTTAGGTGCTTCTTCATGGGCTAAAGGCCCCCAAGAAAATCGAAATGTAGCACATATAATATTCAGAGAAAGATAAGTGCCATAAATGGAAAGTAAAAAATTGTACAAGGACTAGAGTGCAAAAATTATGGTACCAGATTGAAGATAATATTATTATATGATGTTAATTTTATTAAAAAAAGAAAAAAGAAAAAGGAAAGTATGAATATAAATAGAGATCAACCACCACCTACTTGAACATGTGGTATGCTGGTTAAGCTTTTGTCCTGTAGGGCCATAAGCCACCCCATAAGATGGTCAGTTTGTGAAATGTCCCACTGGATGCACCTCTTCCCTGGACCCACCAATTATTAATTTTCTTTTATTTAAAAATATACAATTTCTTAGTGTTTTTTTTTTTCTTTTCTTCTTTATATTCATGAGATAAGTTCGTGGCTGAATAATGTACAGACTGTTGTTTTTGTGGACCAATGTGCATTTAAGTTTTTTTTTGTTATTTACCCAATTTAAAATTATTAATTGCAATTTGATTCGTCAGATTTACACACTTATATTAGTGTAATATAGTGTTACACTTTGGAGTGAAAAAAAAAAAGTTTTAGAAAAAGGCTATAGTAGTTATTAAACAAAAAGGCTCATGAAAGCTATGTAGAAAGTTTTGAAAAGGTAAAAGATGATAAAAAAAAGTTAGATAGATTGCTAACACTCAAAAGATTTACACACAAAAAAGCACTACAAGGTAAGTGCTTTTGTGATATTTTGGATTTTAAGTCAATGTCTCTTTCAACGAGTCAATTTCAAACACTTGGGTACATTGTTTAATCTAAGATAGTTATCCTTTTGTTAGATCAAGCATAATTCATTACAATCTCAAAATTTGATAACAACTCCAAAATCAACTTTTGCACAATGTAATGAACAAGATGAGCTTATGATTGAGATTAAAAATAAAGTTGAAATTAAGTGTGAGAGGGCATGCTTTAAGTATGTAATATTATACAATTCAACCTTTTGTAATATAACACTCTTTTATATTACAATTTATATCATACTAGGGAAAATTACGGCCACCCCTGAGTTATGATTAAATTACGAAATCCCTCCTCATATTTGGATAATTACAGCCGCCCTCATCAACTATGTATTATCTTACGAAAAATACTTCTCAAGAAGTATACTTATGGATCTTAAATCGGTAAAACCGAACAGAAATTTCGGTACACCAATATTTCATACCGTTTACGAACTGAATATGCGATTTGGTTCGGTAAATAACTAAATTACATAAATTTTATGTAAAAATAATTAAATGGAGGAGGTGACTGTAATCATCCAAACAATAGAGGGTTTTTCATAATTTGGTCATACCTCTAGGGGTGGCCGTAATTTAGTAAATAGTAAAAGTATATATTCAATATAATTAGGTGATCGATAGCTAACCAACTGATCTATTTTGCAACAGATAAAATCAGTTGCCAGCCATTATCCAACCTACAATGGTCGGGTCAATAACAATATTTCGTATTTCGTAAAATCGGTTGATCGGATCGGGTCGATATTGTATTTGGCAAAAATGGAGGCAATAATTCATATAGGAATGGGGGAGTTGTGATATCATTTTCAAAGAATGAAAAAAAAAGGATAATGTGAAAGAGGGAACCACCCGTGCAAGAGATAAAAAGTAGTTAAACTTACGGAAAGCATTGAGAGAAAATTTCAAAATAAAAAAAAAAAAAAAAAAAATAGTGTGTCATTTTCCATCACACGTGGCCTAATAAAAGGCCTCTCTCTCTCTCTCTCTCTCTCTCTCTCTCTCTCTCTCTCTCTCGCACAAAAACCCATTGCATTAAGCCCCCCAAAAACATTAGCTTCTGCGCACGTGAATGCCTTGACAAAAAGGCCCTCTAAATGATATAAAGCTAAAAGAAACTCTCGCATCAAATGAAAATTATGGGACATCTTCTTTTATTTGGACCATTATACCCCGCATCATTGGCAAATTTACACCAACACCATGCTTCTATTTTTTCTTTCTTATACTAGTAAACGTACATGCAATGATGTTACTTCTTTATTTAATTTGCTCTTTTTACGATTTCGATAAAAAAAAATCTCAATCCTTCATTTACAAGATTATTTCCGAATTTCTATTAGTTCACATTTTTTTTGTAGACAGTGTGATATATATACCTTATTGGCCATCTAAATGAACGCAAAATATAACTCATCTATAAATAATTAAGTTAATGGGTCAATCTCATTAGTTAAGGTCACAAGCTCATCAGGTAGTTAGTTATTCTCGCATAATGTTTCTACTTGCTAGTGTTTACTAATTCAATATAGACAACTTTTTTAGGTCACTTATAAAAGGTAAGTGGTTTTTATTTTTAATTACTATAATTTTGTTGAGATCATCTTCTCTTAGCTTGTAGAACATGTCAGTTGACTTGAGCGGTGGAGGGGCTTCATCGGGCACATACGTTCATCTCGCAGGTTAAGAGTTCAACAAATCACTTCAGTCAAGGACTTAATTACAACTATGGACTTCAGCAAATGGCTTAGACTTGGGACTTCGCCCTTTGGTAGCTCTCTATGCTGACATCCATTCAATTTCACCCACTCGTGTGTACTGGACAAACGAATGGTATTTCGACATTACATACTCGAAATATACCGGATGATCTTGAACCATTAATCCATACATAATAACGCACACATCTCCATGTGTATGTGCATTTTATAAATAATTATTTATATAAAGTTGTGGTTCAAAATTCTCAATATATTACACCAGATATAACATCTTACACCCCATAATATATTCACCAAAATCAAAGAGTAGTTTACCATTTTGCTCCTATCATTATTTTAAATAACAAACTCAAATTAGTCAACCAAAATCCACAAGTTGGAGATTTAAAAAATTGTTACTAACTTACTCCTATTATTTGAATTCCATGTGCCCAAAATGAGTTTGGCCCCCCCAAGGCCTAAAACCAAACCAAAGCATCACGAACGTCACGTGACATGGGAATTAAAATTCTTCTGCGGTGGGCGCAAAAAACCAAACATACGCCGCATTAAATGCGCACCCTCCTCCACCTGGCGTCAGTTTTGCCATTAATAGCCGATCCCTGTTCTTATCCTGCGCCGCGCCGTAATCCGTTATAACGGTGGCAGTTTTATTAAATACGTAGCCACCAGAAGGGCATTCCCGTCAATTAAACTCTACTTTTTGGTCCTCGCATCATCCACTAACCACCAAAAGGCCCTTCAA